GTCGGTCCTGTCCTCCAGCAACAGGGCTGTTTAGCCAAAGGGGAGACCAACTGTCTCCCCTTTGGATACACAGCTCTGCTGCTGGAGGGGGAGACCGACTGGATCCCCTTTAGCTAAACAGCCCTGTTGCTGGAGGACAGGACCGACCGTCTCTGCCCCCGGTAGCTCAGCCTGCCGCTGGGGAATGGAGACTGGGCTCCCAATTCCCTGTACATTGCTCTGCTGCTGGGGAATGGAGACTGGGCTCCCAATTCCCTGCAATTCACTCTGCCGCTGGGGGATGGAGACTGGGCTCCTTATTCCCTGCAGATCTCACTGCCGCTGGGGAATGGAGACTGGGCTCCCAATTCCCTGCATATCACACTGCTGCTGGGGAATGGAGACTGTGCTCCTAATTCCCTGCATATCACACTGCCGCTGGGGATCTGAGCCGACCGCCCAGCATCCCTGTAACTCACCCTGCCGCTGGGAAGGGAGGACGCTGCTCTCCTTTCCTTGCAAGGTACACTGCCGCTAGGGGAGGGGAGACAATGCTCTCCACTCCCTGCACTTCACACTGCCGCTGGGGAAAGGAGACACGGCTCTCTATTCCCTGCAAATTTCAATCTGCCGCTGGGGATCTGGGCTGACCGCCCAGCATCCCTGTAGGGCCGGTGGAGAGACCTCAGTCCCATCTCCACCTGCTGCCTGGGGTTCCTCCCAGTAAAGCTCTACAATATCTTCCCAGCTGAAGGGGTCTGGATCTGGGTCTGTCACCTTGCTGTCCTGCTGAGCCTTCCCATTGGAGTGGAAGAGGTCTCGGTAGTCCTGCTCCAGTTCCCACTCCAGGGTTGCTAGGTGAGGCAGGTCTTGCTCTATCTCATGGGGGTCATCCCAGTCATGCCTAGCCTCCCTCTCGTAGAAAATGTCCTGAAGTCTGGTCTGCGCAGGGCTCCCGAAGTCAGGCTCTGCAAAGGACTCCCACAAGAAGTCAGGACCATCAAACTCCTCTCCCTCTGGCTTGTCCAGGGTATATACTGTGCCATATACCACCAGAGCACCTGGTAGGCATCCTCCTGCCATAGCTCCTGCCATACCCAGTGCTCTAGTTCCTTCACCCATTCCTCCAGGGGCTGCTCTCCCAGGAAGGGCATCCGCAGGGCCACTTGCTTCTGCAACCGCTGCTCTTCACTGGGGAGACTCTCACCCCGCTGGTATTGTACATTATCCAGTGCCTGGTACCAGATGCCTTTCCTTAATGCATCCCGGATATCCAGGTCCTCCTCCTAGTATAACACTGCTGGTTCCATTCTGTTGCTTTTAGGGTCGCTGTACTGGGACATGCGTTGCCCCCAACTTGTAAATCCACGGAATGGTGTCTCCTGTAGCTGTCCTTCTGGCTGTGGGAACGATCCCGCTGCTTGCCACCAATTGTAATGACACCCCCAGGCATAAAAGGGGTTAAAAACCATTTAGGAGATCTTCCCCTACTGCAGCTACTGACTGCAGAACCCCAAACTCCCGAACAGGATACCAAGTAGCACTCCAAATTCCCAAACTGGAACCTCACGAATAGCACCCGAGCGGCTTACACTCCTGGCAATCAGTCTCTAACAGCATACAGTAAATCCCCCAAGAACGAGATAAAGCTCCGTATTGAGGGTCAAGCAGGAACAGACAGAGCTGTGGGTTTATTGTTCTTATGTACACATTCTTACACATTAGTACCACCCACAGGGTTTTGGAAAACAACCAGTAAACATGTACAATACACTCAGACACTCCCACACAAAATCCTCCCCTCTGCCTGTGATACAATTACCTTACACAATGGGTAATATAATTATCACAGCCAGAGAAATACAGTTTTTCCACATTATTCATAACTTTAAAAGTATGCATCACATTCACATAAACATTTTCAGAATCAGCATACTCCAAATACAAACATACGTCAAAATCATACAAATTGGTGCAGTGGTTCAAAAGATAGATCGTAGTCCTTTGTGACTAAATGAAGCATGGCTTTTCTGCCCAAAACCAGTTACACAGAGTATTCTATCCTGGAGATAATTGGGAAGTAATCCAATTATCTCAAAGGACAGAGGCAAAACTCCATTAAGCACACAGCAGGAAAAAGACAGTAAAATACAATAAAATACACAAGGTTACATTTATTACATAAAATACAGACATGCAACATATCCCCAGATAGCTTAGGTCTGAGCACACATTATTACTGAATGGTGCTCAGACCACACACATACAGTTCAATTGTCATGGAGCCAAAGTCTTTCCCATAGTCTTTCATTATACGAATGGGCTCCATGGCATAGCTATCTGGGGTATCACCACAGGGCAAGCACCGAATGACCCGGCTTTCATGTCTTTGCAGGGGGAAAATCAAGCGTTTCAACATGGGGCCATATTCTAAAGGCAGCAGGCAGGCAGGCAGGCAGGCATCCAGGCTCCTCCAATGCACAATGGCGAGATTGGTCTCATCACAAGCACAAAACCCACATTATCAATAGCTAAAGACAGACATTTGACTCTCCACAGGGCTCTAAAGCCGCTTTCCCCCCCTAGCTGAGCTGAAAGAGGTTAAAACCCCTTCAGCCACTTACCTTTATCCAGTGTCGTGCTCCCCCTACGACATGGTCTCCCGAGTGGAGCCGAATGCGCATTAAAAATGCCCATAGGAAAGAATTACTCAATGCTTTCCTATGGACGTCAGCGTCTTCTCGCTGATTTTCACAGTGAAAATCGTGGAAGCGCACTATAGTGGCTGTCAGTAACGCAGCCACTAGGGGCTGGCTTAACCCTGCAGTGTAAACATAGCAGTTTCTGTGAAACTGCTGTTTTCAGCTGCAGGGTTAAAACTAGAGGGACCTGGCCCCCAAACCACTTCATTGAGGTCCATAGTGGTCCTTTAATAAGCAGCACTTTGCATTTGAAACACTTGCATATTACTTAAGGGCGGCTCTAGACCATAAGCTCATTTGAGCAAAGTTCTCATCAACCTACAGTTCCTGTAACATTTTGTAATGGTCACGTTTGTTATATTTCCCCTATTATATTGTAAAGCACTGTTGATATATAAGTGGGCGCTATATAAATACCAAAAATACAGGGGAATTCACATGCCACTTGCCTATATAAGGGGTGCAGTAATGGTAACACCATAATGCATCTCAGGTGGGTGTAGGTAATTAGCCACATCCTGATTCCCTCCCCTTTTGTTGCACTTTTATCTGTGTATTGGACTTGGAACGTGATGAGTGTATATAACATTAGCTGGATGGAAGTTACTGGGTGACTGAGGTAATAGGATTGCAAGGTGAATGTGTAGAGATAGAGTTTTTAAGTATGTTACTGGGTGAATGCTCGTATTAAATAGCTAAGTAGATGTAGGTCACTTGACTGACTTTGTAGGGTATAAAACAGATTGTGTATTAGCAGGCATACAACCTTTTGACATTGTGAGTTCATGTTTGCGATTTCATGTGTTTTTCAAATAGGATTGTCAAAGCAGCTTTGGAATTTGACAAGACAATACTTGTAATTTGTCATTTTAGTGAGCACAGTAACCCAATGTCACTTTTTCAATTAGTCATGCAAAACTTTACCATCTTCCACTGTACAGGAAAAAGAGCTGCTTCAGTAACCAGTTGTTAGTGGGCAGTTAACTGCCTGATCAATAAAATGAGACTGCTAAAGTCATTTATGGTTGGGCCCCAGAGGTTAAGAGCTACACAAAAGCTAAAAACGAAAGGCTGTTTCAAAATGTTACCTTACCTACTATTTTCAGATGTGAGCCAGCCCATTGTTAAAATAAAGAAATTCACACACTGATGCATGTTTAATAACTTTCTTTGAGCATAAAGCACTTTTTCGGTCATATGGTGGCAGTACATGTAGGTTTTGCCCCTTTCCGGTGGACAAGCATCTAACAAGATTAATTAAATCAACAAACCCCTCCCCCTTGCCCTATAAAAGGGCTATCCGGCAAAACCTACCTCAGTTTCCTTTCTTGTCCCGAGATGGAAGGAGACAGGCTCGGCGTAGATGAAGCTGTGCAGTACCCACTCACAGCATGGATGCTTGCCAGAAGTGGTACGCCGTGTCACCCGCCCCCCACACGGCTCATTAATCTTTCCTTCAAAATGATCTCTGTAAAGGTTTATACACTTAATTTACAAGGATTATGAAGAGGACGAAGAGTGGTAACAAGGTTTTATTTCAGGATGAGGAATGTTTTGGACCACTTTCCCTATAGTTAAAGTTTTGGCATGACGCGTTGCTGTGAGCAGTATATGTACCCACTATATGCTCTATGACGAGTTGCTGTGAGCAGTATATGCTCTATGACGGGTGGTTGGGAAGACTCAGCTTCAGTATATGTATCCACTATATGCTCTGTGCATGAGTTTTTATGAGGGCTCAGCCTTAGTAAGATATGTCTTCACTAGATGCTCTATGGATGAGTTATCAGGAGGTTACTGCCTCAGTTTATGGATCCTTATTAGGCTCTATATATGAGCTTCTGTGAGGACGCTGCCTCGGTATATGTATCCACAGGAGCTGTGTAACCTTGGTATATAGCATATGTTGTCTAGGTATGCTTTCTGTTTGAACAGACTCAGTATATGTGACTGATATCTCAGGGCATTATGGATGGTTAAGAGACACCCACAAGGTATGTGATTTCAGTGCAAACCTATCAGACAGCTTTATTAGCAGGAGCTGCCATAACCAGAGATAGTTTTTTTTTTTTCCTTTTTTTGCTCAAAGCACTGCAGAACATAATTCCTGAAGACAGGATTAACCTCTGCTCCAATCATTCCAGAATTTGCAGTTGACAAAGGAAAATCCCTTTTTCTCTTTATGACTGTGGATGTTTGGTAGTTTATGGTTGAGATCATAGATGACTGATACTGCATCAAAATCGGTCCTTTGTGAGCTTCCCTTGTGTAATCAGAAGCGGTTTGGGTCTCACTTTAAGGAAATCTTAATACAATTTAGAGGACGACTAAGAATATACGGAGCAAATTCCGATAAATTGAAACAGGAGATTACAGAGTGTGGCCACTGTACTTTCTAAAGAAAGTAAAGTTGTGTAAATAATGGCTTTTTTTTTTTTTGGAGATCAGACGGAGCAAACAGAGGGAAACATTTCTGACGCAGACGATTCTACCAGCAATCCATAAATTCTATTTCTTATTCAAAAGAGTTCCTAGATCTCGTGTTCAAGTCAAACACATTGTTGGTTTTCTCTCCCCTATCATAGAAGGGAGTTGTTAGTAGCGGATCCGTTTTTTGAATTAGAGTTCCTTTCAGGAGGCTTGTCTTCCGTCTAAAGATCTTGTTGGGGATCACTACAGATGCTCTTATCTAGTCCCATCATGTTTCGTGGTAATGGTTAAAGGAGAATCCGCAGATTTTGGGTTTAAAGCTGTACTTCCCGCCCTTCATCTCTTCAGTCCGTGTATACGGCGGAAGGCCGTAAAGATTCATACGGACACTTGTACAAAGATTTTGATACGTCAACCGGCAGGGAGGAACCAGAGTAGGCACTCTTTCTGGCCTGCATGCGGTTATCTTGCTGAGGTGCAAAATATTTCGGCAGTTCAATTCAGAGGGATTGACAATGACATAGCCGTCGAGCTCAGAAAAGGAAATTGGAATCAGAAAGTTTGGTCCTTATGTCCATGTAATTTTTACAGTCTGGAGAAGAAATTTGGTGTTCCAGACATGGTCCTGTTGGCAAGCATTAAAAAAAAACTAATTGTAATGTAATGTCAGGCTGGCATGCGTCTTTCTTCCGCTATTTCCAAGTTGTCTTCGAAAATTAGGGCTGTCGGAGACTTATCCTGGTTCTTATTTAATTCTGGCCATACGAGGTTCTGGTTCCCGACGTACAAGAAGATGGCCTCCACAAGGTGGTAACTCCCAATCTCGAACGATCTCATGACGAATAGGAATCTACCCTAGTGGTTCTGTAGAGGTCCAGGTTAATGGCCTGGCTACTGCTAGGTTACTTCTTCATCATCTAGGTCAGCAAGAAGATAGATTTGGCGGTGTTGCTTTGATCAACTAGATTTCCTGCTTTAAAGGTCTACTTTCTAATAAAGGTGTTTTTTTTATTGGTGTTGTGAACACCACTGCCTGTATGTTCATCCATCTGTAGACCCATGCTTTGTCTTCAGGATATTTTTCTGCAGGCTTCAGTGTTTTTTGCTTTGAGGTTCAGGCCTCAATCCTGAGAATCCTGCTGAAATAAGATTTTCCATCCATCTGTTAAGCTTAAGGTTTTTTTTGTAATCTGCTAAGTCCAGACATCCTCCTAGAGTTCGGTTTTTTCCTTCCTGGGATTTATCCTTTAATTTTACTGGCTCTTGGGAACACACTTTCAATCCTGTGAAAAGGCTTCCCTTACAAGTTTCGTTCCTCTAGACCACCTTCTTGGGGGCCATCACATCGGCTAGAAGGTTCAGTGAGCTTCAGTCATTTTCATCCCCAGATTTTTTTTTTTTTTTCCCAGTATTGCTCGTGGACACGGTGGTTCTTCACCCTAAACCTGTCTTTTTTTTCATACAGGTTTGTTCTACGAGTCACCGTTTGTTTCTGCTTTCATTTTGGTGGTTATGCCACCTCTCCTCAGGGGCTTAGTTTTTTTTCCTTGTATCTAAAAGGAGCATTGTTATATCTCTCTTCCTAGGACTGAAGAGCTCAGGTATTCTGGCCATCTGTTTGTTATCCTCAAATAAAAATTACAAGGATACGGTGCTTCCTGCAATTGTTTCAATTGACTCAGACGAGTGAGTAGGTTGGCAGTTTTCTCACGGTGGTCTTCAAGTTCCGGTTTCTTTCACGGCTCTTTACACTTAGGATATTGGCTGCCTCAGGGGCAGTAAGAGCCCTTGTTTCTTCCAGTGGACATCTGTGAAGCACCGTATTGGGCTGCCTTTCCACATTTTCATTAAACTCTACAGACGAGAGATATTCTCATCCTGTGAAACAGTCTTTGGGCTTAAAGTTTGCAAGAGCTGGTGTGACATTGGACCAACCCAGGTTGGAGATCTTGCTATATCCCACATGTACTGCTACCATATGACAGAAAAAAAAAACTGAAATTTTTACTTAAAGTAAAAAATTTTTTCTTAATATGGTGGCAGTACAGCTTCCCTCCCTCTATATTACATTTTCTTGATTACAGTAATAAGTTTTATCTGTTTGTTTTTTCTTGCTACTGAGGTAGGTTTTGCCGGAATGCCCTTTTATAGGGCAAGGGGGAGGGGTTTGATTTAATTAATCTTGTTAGATGCTTGTCCACAGGAAAGGGGCAAAACCCCCATGTACTCCCACCATATTAAGAAAAAAAATAAAAAAAGAATTTACGGTAAGTAAAAAAAATAGTTTTTTACCCTATACACTCCAAATTGTAACAGGGAGCTAAACCACTACTTTGGTTTGGCAAGAGCTCATTGCAGAAGCTGTACCTGGAATCTTGCATCTAATGCAAGATTTTAAAGAGAAACTAAGAACCAGTATATCTTAATGGAACTGCTTTAGCCTATCCCTGTAGTCTGGGCAGTGTAAACCATGTCTTTTCTGAGAATAAGCAGTGTTAAAGTGCTGCCCAACACCACCTACAGCTGCCGTCAATGCAACTGCCCATAGAACAGCATTATAGGAGATTTAACAGCTGGAGTGTCAAAGGTTGCCTTCTCCTGCACTACAAAGGACTTTCTGGGTTCGGGCTTGCAAAGATTGAAGGACGAATGTCCAATATTTCCATACTCTGCATGGATATGCTGAACGCTCCCCGTAAAGATGCCGATTGGCACAATGCAGCGATTTGCTGGCTTCCCAATGCTATTCTACAGGGAAGAACTGGATCAGCAGAGACTGGTATTCACGATTTCAGCCAGAGGAGGCGGGTTGACCACATGGAGATCGGTAAGGGAAAATAAGTTAAATGAAACCCTTTATCTAAAACAGGAGGTAAGGAAACTTCAGAGGTTGTGGACAACATCTCTCATAATGCTCTTGCAGCCATAACACTGGCAAAAAGGGGAGATGTAGTCCACAACATCTGGAGTGCCAAATGTTGCCTACCTCTCATCTCAAAATAGTTACTAGAAAAAAAAAAAAAAAAAAAAAAGAAAAAAAACAACTTTAGGAATGTAAACCTGTATTTTAGTTCATTTTTGCATTTAGTAATGGAAATGCCTATATAATGAATAATAAAAAAATAAAATAAAAGTATTAACTACAGCCTGGAGGAGTTCCCCCTCAACTTGTGACCAGAAACTGAATATGTTGCATTAAATATATTAAGAGGTTTGAGTGTACCATCGATGTGCAATCTAACAACTCCAAAAACCCTTAAAATTATAATTTCTGCTATGTAAAAAAGCTCACAAATCAACGTATTAAATCTTGATTTGATCTTTAAAATACCATACTGAAGAGATTCACAAATCACGCAAAACACCGATTTTACATTTGCAGTTTTCTTAGTTTTGTTTTTTTTACTAAAAGTGTCCATTTAAATTAAAAACAGTAATAGAGATCTGCTGTAAATTGTAATCCCTCCAAATGCTCAATGACAAAAACTAAATAAAATCGTTAACAAAGGAAGCAAAATGTGTTTCAATGCATTTAAATGCAGAGTTATATACATTTACTTTTGACATGCAAATCTCAATCCTATTTTTATTTTTCCCCCATAGGTTGTTTCAGTCCAAGAAAAAGGTGCCGGGGAAAGAAATCACTGTGGTTACAGCAATTTGTAGATTAAGACACAAAACAGAATAGTAAAACATAACTTCCATATTTCTTCAGAATATCAATTTTACAAGTTTATTATACATCATGTACACACTGTAGCCAAACTAGAATTAAGTAGCATGGAGTGGGGAGAAAAAAAAATGCCCATCCCTTTCCACAAATAAAATAAAAGGGAAAAAATGAAGAGGGACAAAAAACACTTTATTTTGAAATTCCTTGCTCCCTCTATACAAGAATCTGCAATTAAGCATTTTGCACAAAAGGCAGCAGTGAATTTTCAAACATTGTAACCTTATCTCACCTTTGAATAAAAACTATCACAGTGTATTTTATAATGTCCTGCTGTCAATTCCAGAGAGGGCACCTAGCCGAACCGTACATAGCCGAAATGTGCTAGGATTATCACGGGTTATTAGTTTGCAAAGTTTAGCATAGGAATGTCTATTAATCCCTCTGGTGCTAGATGCGTCCGTAACATTGAACGTCAAAATGATAGTCCTTGATGTACCACCAGGGGGAGTGACAGTATAGGCTTTAATAAACTTTTATAGACAAATGGAAAAAGATTTACAAAAAAAAAAAAAAATTTGCTAGGATTATTAGGAATATTACACGGCAGCACACTTTAATCTACACAAAACCAAAATTCTTGGTCTTAACAGCAAGTAACAACTTCTGTTTGAGAATCTGTTTAGAGGAGTAAAGAGGGACGTAGAGGCGAGAGATGCATGTGTTTGCTGTGGGAAGGTGTTGGTCATCGGGAGGTCGGATGGTAATTGATGGCATAGGCTGAAATCCCTCCTCACTTGCAGGCAACGATGGGCTTGATGTCCAAAAATAAACCTAATGAGGTGAGAAGCAAGGTGTTACAGATCATCATGATTTGCCATAAACTTTAGTAATTTGTCTTATTTCATAAATACGGTTCAAATATTTATGTACATTTGTGATTTCTTACTTTAGATTCTGGTTTCAAAAACATGATTTGACATCCACATAGAGTGTTGGGATTTTGCCAAGAAGAACCATTTCATCCCTAAGCAATTTGTGCAGCATATATTAACCACCACAAGTTAATGTATGTCAGGAATAAGGGGAACAAGGACAATGCACCCAAACTACGTCAATGAGCTGAAGTGGTCTGGGTGCCTATCCTTTAAGAGTATTCCTTTAACAAGGTAAACATGGAAATGTTACCTAGATTGATTTAAGTGAAACTGTTCTCAAAGCAAATATATTTGCTATATATTTTTATTCTCATTTTTAAACGTTATAGAAGCAAAAGTCTGTATAACCAATATCCCATGTCAATATAGACGGAAGCAATATTTTTAGGTTTTTTTTTAAAATGCACAAATTAGTTGTTTTTTTAATACACCAAGCAATATTTTATGAGGTTCCCCCGCCACCCCCCTTTTCTTTTAATGCACCAAACAATATTTGGGGTATGGTTTCTTACCAAATCTTGTCGCTCTGTCATACTCATTTTTTCCACTATAGACCAGAACCAACGCTTGAACTGTAATAGTTTCTCTGCATTCTCTCCTGTGTGAAACATGCAAAAAGAAAATATTTGTAAAGAAATAAAATTAAATATACTCCAAACATGTAAACCAACATTATTTAACAACTGAAATGGTCTCTTATACCTGACTCGTCATTGAAAGACGTAAAACTGATAAGCATCTGGACATTAACTTCCCCACATCCATTGACCAATAACCGAAAATCCTCTGCAGTTAAATCTTCTAGGGCGTTCTTTGGGAGTACGTCTAGCAGACCTTTTCTCATTGCCTTCAAAAGAGAAGGGGAAAAAAAAGGTAATAAAAATGTATATAAATGTTTTGACAGAATTATCTTCCAGACATTATCAAATGGAGCATGACCGTATTTATTTTAAATGATATCTAGCAGCCGGCAAACAGGGTTTTACAATTTTGGAAGACACACAAGAAAGGTGCATATTGAGTAGACCGTTTTAACAAATGTATGCAAGATCCTGTTTTTTTTCCCTATGAAGTAGGAGGTACTCACATGAAGAGGTTGTTCTGCAACAGCAAGCATTCTGTGTTCAGCATACTTCCTTACATACTCATATACATTCTGAGGGGTAACTGGGATATTTACACCATTGGGAATAAGTTCAACCTGGTAAAATAAAGATTTGTTAATTAAAATCTTGCTAAATGAAATTCACACATTCATAGCAATAGAGGAAAAGAATAATTACAAGACGGCTTAAAATTGGGGTCAGAATTATGACAATTTGTTCTGAGGACATCTTTAATTTTAGGATTGTAAAAGGGAATCAACAATAAAACATCTGACTGTTAACCAGAAATGAAGCAGTCAGTATGCTCAATGGCAATACAGAGAGTATAATTTGGCAAGCTGATTAACTGAGGGTTACATGTTCATGGTCAGGAATCCAAAACGCAACTGTTTACAGTCCCCAAAAATATTGCTAAAAATTAAGCCTGGGAATGCATAAGGTACAGTGTGTAGCCAACTAACCACAAGAACAGAGAATGTAATGTGTTCTCTATGTGCTGTGAGTTTGGAATGCATAATTTACAGATTACTACTTTTTTTAATAATAGTTAACTTGCCATCCACTGTTTTACAGGTGAACATTCCATTTAGAAAAATAACCCAAGTGCCTGCTTTAAATTTTATAATATTTATTACTTCTGAAACCAACCTGTCCTCCGCTCTCCTCTTTGCACAAGTCTATGGCAAATGCTAGATCCATTGATGCAAATACTGCATCTGCGTCTGCACTTTGGGAAGCAAGGATAAGCTGTCGCAAACTCTCATACATCACATGGTCAAAAAATGCAAAGTCGTGCCAGTTCACCTTGAAAGAAAAAAAATAGAACACAATCATTCTCACTAAAAACACCAATGTCACTCACAAAAGATACTGCCTAGTAACTTTGTGTGAGAACATTTTAGCAGAGCAGATAATATCTAGAATTTGCCTCCTTACCTTTCTTCCAAGAAGGACTTTAATAACTTGTCTACTTAATGTAATAGGGCACAGTTCGTTTTGTAGTAAACATAAACCAAGAATCCTGCAGAAGATAACACAAAAAATAAAGTAAGCAAATGCCATGTGCAGAGCACGCACAAATCTCTTGTATGAATTATAGGACTAATTATTCATCAATTACAAAGTCAAACATACCTGCCAATATTTCGGAAACAGTTTAACCTGGCCTCTGTGTTTTTACCAGGTCTAGGGGTGTAGAAACCTCTTTTACCAGGCTGGTAAAAAAGGGGAGCATTATCATCACCATCATCTGTATCTGTCAGTTCCATATCTACAACACTGCGGCTAGAGCCATGACGTTTCCGGTTTTCCTGCAAAGAAACATTGCAAACTTCAAAATACATCACACTTTCAATGTGTAATTAAAGAGACCACAGGCACCAAAACCCACTACATTCCTAAACAGATCTAATGTTTATACTTTTATTGCACAGTCTGATTAATTTAAAATGTATTATCTCCTGCATTATTAATAGATTGCTTGACCTTGCAGGGACATCCTGTGTAAGAAAAGTTCAATTTACAGAGGAGGAGATAAAAACTTCTAAAGCAAGTTAACATCTGACTGAAAAAGGAAACCATTTGCATTTCATGCAGGCTGTCTCAGCCAGTCCTCCACTGTCTGTGACTAAGACTGTAGGGACAGAAACAAAAGTGATTATAAACTCCTAGATGGCAGGGAATTGATTAGTGATAGGTATGGTGACTATAAACAAATTTAGTCTAATAAAGCAGTTTTTTGTATGTAGATCATGCCGGTGTTGGGCATCTAGATGAAGGAAGATAATTGCAGGGAAATTCTCCTCTGCTCCTGCGCGGCAGCCAGAAGAAGTGATGACAGATCACTACATCACACAATTGAGAAACTGCGCAGGAGTGGACAACACACATTATGGGAGGTAAAGGATGAGAAAGTATTCAATAAACTCTAAACTAAAACCTGTCTATGTCCAGAGCTCTACTCAGGGTTCCTAATCTGAAAATATTGTGTGTGTCAGGACAAGTAGATATTTCTAAAAATTCCACACCTGGCATGAATATGCATATTGCAAACCAAACAAAAACAAACACCGTACTCTCAAAAGGAGAGCAAGTTGACATTGAAAATAATGCTAATTGACTTTTCACCAATGGTGCCACCTAAGAATGCTACAAGCACAATACGTTTTTTGTTCTTAATTCTAGCAAAATTATTTTTAAAATGTTATCAGAGTCCATACAGATGTTTAAACAGCAATTGGAAAAATATCTTCAAAAACATAACATACAGGGATATCATTTCTAATTGGTGGGGTAATAGCTGCTTGATCCAAGGAGATATCCAACTGACATTTTGGGGTCAAGAAGGAATTTTTTCCTTGTTTGTTGCAAAATTTGTAGCGCTTCAGACTTGTTTTTTTGCCTTCTTTTGGATCAAACAGCAAAAACATATGTGAGGAAGGCTGCACTTGATGAACGCAATACTCTTGAGCCATGTAACTACACTGAAAATTATAGACGCAACACTTGTTTTTGCCTTCATTTTTCATGAGCTGAACTCAAAGATCTAAGACTTTCTATTTAAACAAAAAGTCGATTTCTCTCAAATATTGTTCACAAATCTGTGTTAGTGAGCACTACGCCTTTGCCGAGATAATTCATCCACTTTACAGGTATGGCATATCAAGATGCTGATTAGACAGCATGATTATTGCACAGGAGTCCCTTAGGCTGGCAACAATAAAAGACCACTCTAAAATGTGCAGTTTTACTGTACTGGAGGAGGTGCAGGGCGGTCCGATAACCAGACAGTATCTGGTGTGACCACAATTTGCCTCACGCAGTGCAACACATCTCCTTCACATAGAGTTGATCAGGTTGTTGATTGTGGCCTGTGGAATGTTGGTCCACTCCTCTTCAATGGCTGTGTGAAGTTGCTGGATATTGGCAGGACCTGGAACACGCTGTCATATACGCCGATCCAGAGAATCCCAAACATGCTCAATGGGTGACATGTCAGGTGAGTATGCTGGCCATGCAAGAACTGGGAGGTTTTCAGCTTTCAGGAATTGTGCACAGATCCTTGCAACATGGGCCGTGCATTATCATGCTGCAACATGAGGTGATGGTAGAGGATGAATGGCACAACAATGGGCCTCAGGAACTTGTCACGGTATCTCTGCATTCAAAATGCCATCAATAATATGCACCTGTGTTCGTGGTCCATAACATACACCTGCCCATACCATAACCCCACCATGGGCCACTATCTACAACATTGATATCAGTAAACCGCTCACCCACACGACGCCATACACGCTGTCTGCCATCTGCCCTGTACAGTGAAAACCAGGATTTATCCGTGAAGACAACACCTCTCCAAAGATCCAAACGTCATTGAATGTGAGCAATTGCCCATTCAAGTTGGTTAGGACGACGAACTGCAGTCAGGTCGAGACCCCGATGAGGACAACGAGCATGCAGATGAGCTTCCCTCAGACAGTTTCTCACAGTTTGTGCAGAAATTCTTTGGTTATGCAAACAGATTGTTGCAGCAGCTGTTCAGGTGGCTGGTCTCAGACTTCTTGGAGGGGAAGATGCTGGATGTGGAGGTCCTGGGCTGGTGTGGTTACATGTGGTCTGCGGTTGTGAGGCTGGTTGGATGTACTGCCAAATTCTCTGAAACGCCTTTGAAGACGGCTTATGGTAGAGAAAGGAACATTTAATTCATGGGCAATAGCTCTGGTGGACATTCCTGCAGCCAGCATGCCGATCCCTCAAAACTTGCGACATCTGTGGTATTGTGCTGTGTAATAAAACTGCACATTTTAGAGTGGCCTTTTATTGTGGCCAGCCTAAAGCACACCTGACCAATAACCATTCTGTCTAATTAGCATCTTGATATGCCACACCTGTGAGGTGGATGGATTATCCCGGCAAAGGAGAAGTTCTCACTAACACCGATTTGTGAATATTTGAGAGAAATAGGCCTTTTGTTTACATAGAAGAAGTCTTAGATCTCAGAGTTCAGCTCATGAAAAATGGGGGCAAAAACAAAAGTGTTGCATTTATAATTTTGTTCAGTGTATGTAAACCATAGAAATTTGATCATAAAGAGGCACTACTTTTCTAAAACAAAATGCATTTGATTCACACTATGGTAAGTCTTGTTTAGTATAAAGGTGTTAAAGAAAGTAGTCCAGCACACCTCCAGTGTCCCTTTATTGCGGTAATGGAACAGGTTTGATTACTAATGATACCTGGTCTTCGTTTGATTGTGGAAACCGCACGGCATGTGTCAGCCTATTTTCTAGACTGCAGATAAAAGGTCATTGTGTACCATCATAGATGATACAGTAGGATAAGAGTGCTCATCACAATTTTTTCACTATGAATTCTTCAATACTATAACAAATTTGCGCCATTTTAATAAAAATAGGCAAGAGGATCATAAAGCAACCCTGTAAACATCATAGAGAGGAAACAGAACGATTAGTACGGCTGTTGGCTATAGCAGGGTTGACTTACCTGGACCTTATCAGATGAATCTAACAAACCAAGATCAAGAATGCTGTCAGCTCCATTTTCCCTGTGAGTAACAGAGGAGAAAACAAAATAAATGTATTGGGTCAGTGTAGATGGAAAGTAGAAGAAACATTGACTTTGGTATAAACATGTTCTAAATTCTCATGTTAGTAAGAAGACTAGATTTCCATAGGAAGAATTCCCATCTCATTATGGCTAAAGGAAATCACATGCTTTGGCAGGTAATAAAAAAAAATAAAAATAAATAAAAAATCATGAAAACATGCAGTGATATCAGCCACTGAACATTTTGCATTCTTAAGCAGGATCAAAAACCAGCTTGCACTAATAAATGAGTGGGCATACAATGTTGGCAGGAATTGTATGGAAATAAATGGCAGCACCAAGGCACGTGCTTCTACCAGATACTTTGTGCAAGAATTATCTATACAAAAATATATTCTAGGTTCAAAAAGTGACATATCCAGTAATGGATTTTCACTTTTATTAACCGTATCTTTAGGTCAATTGTTTGACAGCTGTTCTGTTACTATATTTCATAATACACCAATTTACATGAAGACTACCACAAATGACTAAAGTTTTAGATTGAATTCATATTATTGTGCTAATTTAATGTGACAAATTTGCATTTCAGTAGTATTGTTTGTTTTGCCCAGTATTCATTTAAGTATATTTTAAAAAGGTTTGTCCATAAGTACGTGTTTAGCACTTTAATTCAGAGATCAAGTCAAAGAGATAAGAACTCCTGGCTTACCTTCCATGTGCAATGATTAGTTCCATGGCCTCATCGACCCTGGCCCGCAGAGAGTCTTCACTGGCAAGTAGCAATAGCAGTTGCGCAGGAGATAATTCAAGCAACATACCGGTGATTTTACTTGCAAATGCCTTCAAGAAAAAAAAAAAACCTTCCTTTAGGACATACAAATAAAAGAGGTATTCGATTCGATAAGATTAACATTACTACTTGCAAGAATCTGGCACTTGCCATAAAAGTCGACTATTTTATTGGATTTACGGTTGTACAATTATGAAGGTTAAAGAATTAAATACAAGAAACAGGATATAGAGATGTTAATATAAGTGGGCTAGTTATAAAGTGCTAGTGCAACAGTCTAAATTGAAATGGGCTACAAGAAACAGTCATATACAAAAGTAACAATAAGCATTTGGTGATGAAAGGATGGGGTTTGCAAAACTTGTAACTTTACTTGTTCTTGAGAGTACAAGTACTTCCCACTATCCAGAGCAATCTGGAGTAAGAAAAATGGAGTGAAACTTGGCGTTGATGCTGGTCAAAAGCTGCCAGGTCTTCTCAATGAAATAAGATGATCATGAGATAATCAGTTTACTTTGTTTATTTGTAAAACACTTAACAATGGGGTTTGTTATCCAATTTCTTAATGAATGAGATTATTTTGTAATAGATAGGGATATTCTTTTGCGGAGAAGTTTCTCGCTAGGACTATCATTATGGGTGTTGGCAGAATTCAATAAAAAAAAAAAAAAAAAAATGAATAGATGGCACACAAGACCAAGAAGAGCCAAAAAGCAGACAAATACAACCAAAACAGCTGCCTTGCTCATTTATGCATTCACCTACATCAAAGAACGGCTAACATTTAGTTATAGGAGTAAATGTTCAGAATAAGGTAAGCCAACATCTATAGAAGCGCATGCTCACTTACTGGCTGCATAGCTTGCACACGTGGGTACAGCCTCTCCCCAAGTGCCTGGCGATGTGCTGGCAGAGGGTCTGGATCATCACTAGGATTTCCTTCAGATGATGGTCTAAAAGGACGTGTATCAATTGAGAGCTGTCTTCTAAAATCCCTACAATAAAAACAATGTTAATGTGGAGCTCTAAGTAAGCATGGGCAAGTCAAAGCCTATAAACGCAACAGAAAACCAAACTTACAAATATATACTTAAAACTAACCTGTCCCTATCACGGCGAGATCCTGCACGCAAACCACTACTTCTCCGCATGTCTCGTTCCCTCTCTCGATCTCTCTCACCCCGATTCCTTAACCTCTGCATTAAACCTTAAAAAAGGAGTAAAGAAAGAAATCCCAAGTCATTAGCATAATTTATGGGAAACCACAAAGCCAAAACTGATCTGATTTCTGCACAGAAAAAAAAAACCTATTGATGTCCACTATTAATAAAGTTGGAGCACACTTTGATAAAATAGATTAAGCCTAAATGTTATAGTTGGCTGTTGTTAAAGTAGCTCTGCATTTGAAATGGAGGCAATGGGAGCCAAAGGGAATAAAAACCTGACAACAGTACTCCTATTGGCTTTGTTGTTTTGTAAGACAATCTGCTAGAATACAGACTGGTTAGACACCATATGAATTTTACCACAGGCCACCATAGGTTCTAAACTATGCAGATTTCTTTAAGGAATTACTTATTTTATGGATTACATTAATATTTGAGGCAATTCTTTTTCTTTAAAAAAATAATTAAAAAATTATATATATATGGCTTGATGTGACATCTTATGTCCCAAATTCCAATTGTTAATCAGCGCCTTAAAAGATTCTTACTTGTATGTGTTCCTTTGTTTGCATTCTGGATACAATCAAGGCTAGGCAGTTTCTCATTTGACAAAAATGCTTGTGCAATTGCAGTATAAAAACTTCGGGCTACTCCACTGCCTTCCCCTGGCTCATCTTTGAAGGTGACCTTTACTCTGTGTACAGCCATCGGAGTTGTGGCACATCTACGGCCAAAGTGGTTGTTTAGTTGCCTCATTGTTTGCTGGATAAGAAGGTCTCTATCTCTATCAACCTAGAAGATAAAAGGAAAATTAGGCATCATTAATATAGCCAAAACACGCATATTTAATGGGAGTGCAAGTGGTCAAACTACTAAAAGAAAAAAGACTTTCACACTGAATATGGCAAATAACATTTAAAGATCAATAATTAAAAAATATTCTTCTCCTTTACTGGTTTAATCAGTGTATAATATAAAGACTTCAGTTTATAATTTACACCATAACATGCAATTTGTAAAGCAAGCATCATAGGCAAAACTACTAAAGTTAGAAAACAATTGCCACCTTACCTCTAGTGTCAGGTCTCTTGACTGCTGATTTCGTAGTTTCTCCATCTCTCTGCGGAACTTCGATTCTTTTACTTCAAAACCACCTAATTCTGTCAAAATCTGTTTATAGAAAGTTCTTAAAATCAGTACAGAAACAAACAAAACATTAAAAAGAATATATATATATAAAAATAAATACTCACTGATCCAGGTTCTGCTCCAACATCTTCCATAAATACTCTGCCAAACAGCTCAAGAGACAAACGCCAACGTCCTAAGAGCATATCATGGGAAATCACCATGCCCATAAAACTGCACTGTGGCCTAAAAGAAAATATTTTTTTAATTAAACAAGTATCAGCGGTGATGTCCTCGAAACATCTTGGAAGGAAACAAGCAGTACTTTACCTAGAAAATACAGACATACCCAAGAAGGAATTGGTCTGCACAAAACATTTAAAAACATTTACTGAAATAGTAATAAAATGTAAATCTGAAGTGTAGTTTTTTGCTGTAGTATGAATAATTTTAGAAATCCTGTAAGAAACTATCATAAAGGTGGTTCTGTCCTGCAACTCGCCACCCAGGGAGCTATCAGACTCAGTCCCCCCAGGCAGAAACTTGTGTGCCTCAGTCTAACCACAGAGAAACTTGTCCGTCCTGCCAACGGTACAAGAAAGCATTGCAGTGGATTAGGGAGACCAGCATTTATAGGGTGAGTAGGAGAGGTTTAAATGTTTTAGGGTTGTTTTTTTTGTTTTTTTACACAGTTTCTTGTACTGAGTTAGAAAGTACAGCCCACTTGTGCTATATTGCCACTATATGCTAGTAAAATACAATTTGCTAAAGAAAAATGGAAAGTCCACTTGACATCAAAATTCAATAGAGGTATGCAGAGAAGAGTACCTGAAAGATGTCAAAGGAGGACCTTCACTCTCAGTCAGTCCAATTTCTGCCAATAAACTGCTCTTTAATTGTGCTGCTAGGTCATGTGCTGAAGGGCCTGGTTTGGAGTTGTCCGGTTCCTCGGGCAGCATAGTTTGATCTTCTGTTTCTTTCTGGCGGCTTTGCATACTCATTACATTCTTCAGATTAGCAGCATAAGACATTTTGGTTGGGAGAACCTAAATACCAGGGGGGGTGGGGGAGGGAAGCATTAAAAAAAAAAAAAAAAGTTTACAAATTTGTTAAAAAAACGAAAAAAACAAACACGAAAAAAAAAAAAAAAAACAGCCAGCTATTTTTAGGAACTGGCACAGAATCACATCATGTAGTTATTAAAGAAAATGTAATGTGACATATTGGATAAGTCATAGTACAAGCCCATATGTTACAGTCTACCTGCACATAGCTGCTTAAAAATTAAGCAATTTTACAGCCTGACAAGAATAGGATTTCTAGTTGCATGCATTTATGCATGGCACACACCATTTAAGCATCATATCCTTGCTATATGGATGAACTAAAAAAAAAAAAAAAAAAAAAAATATATATATATATATATATATATATATATATATATATATATATATATATATATATATATATATATATATTATATATATATATATAAATAAATAAAAGATAAGCTACTATTGGTACATGATTTGGGAAAGTTTGTTGGAACACTGTTATGAAGTCCCACAAAACGATCCAGTAAATTGATTAAAACCAAATTACTCAACACAAAGCAAGGAAGTAGCTTCCTCTTACCTCAAGGCAGTTTCGGTCTACTGTCACTTCTATTAAGCATTTCCCACTGTTGGCTGTAGAGGAATAAAGACCCTGGCTTGGACGGCCAAACAAGTCTTCCTTTCGAGCATTCGGCTTTAAAAAAAACAAATTTAAGGTTATTTCCTCCTATGGACAGATAGTGTATGAGATTGGACAGATTATTCACAATATGGGTATCAGACCATATGTGCAGCAATGTTTAGAAAGAAAGCAACAGCACTGGCAACAAAAGTTCAGCTGTGAATCTGTAAGTCATTAATAATGTAACACTATTAGTCTTTAGAGTAGAAAGAGGTTCCTTCTAGGAAATAAATACTGGACTGGTATAACAATTCTGGGAAGTTGTATGTTGTATCACTAAAGTAATTCAATTTAATGACTTACACAATGCATTAATGCAATAAGATTAAAACTTAAAGTTTAAGATCCCATGTTAGCATGATTTAGTCTTCTCTAACCAGGAAGAGATTCTTATCCCATAAACAACTCTGCAGTAGGGGTTCATAGTGAGAGCAGTCTGTTCCTGAATTAATGTAATTACACATAGCCTGGTTCAGTAATGTAGTAAACTGACAGTAGCAATCAGTTTTTTTTTTTTTTTTTTATAACTTTAAGACAGCCAGTTGAGTGAAACAGACTAATTTTAAAATAGTGCTCAATACATTGAATCACAGGAGGTCTGATGACCACAGTCAGTCATCAGCTACTATTCCACCATTAACAGAATATCATTTCAAATTATATCAACATACCGCAAAACTAGCCTTCATTAACCAGCAGTTCATCTATGGAGAGAATCAAGTGCTCATCTATTAACACGATTTGTTAGTTAAGAGAAAAATAAATAAAGATATATAGTGATTGTAGAAAATGTCGTACCCAGTATTCCAAATGTAATTAAACAAAAAAACGGTGTGTCTGATGTCAATTTTTCTTTTTCTTCTAAAAACACCTTAGACACAACAGGGTAATCCCTAAATCCTGGACTGTTAGGGGGTACTAGAGAACTGGGTTGGGAACCACTGCACTATTACATAATCTATAAGAAGTTTTTGGTGCCAGGAGGACCCCAATGCTCTTACCTTAATGAACGGGGAGATACGGATTGGCTTAGAACAGTGGTTCCCAACCCAGTCCTCAAGTACCCCCTAACAGTCCATGATTTAGGGATTACCCTGTTGTGTCTAAGGAGTTTTAAAATAAATAAGTAAATTAAACCCCACCCCCACCCCAAAAAACTACACAGACACAACGGGATAATACATAAATCTTGTACTGGTTGGGTGTACTTGAGGACTGTGTTGGGAACCCCTTCATTAGAGCATCAACTGACCGCTCTATCTATGCAGCGGCACCCCTGCCTAGCAGCACTCTGCGTTTCCTCTAACTCAGATTCAAAAATTTGATGCCACTTGGGGCACCTGGACATCAGCGCTGAAAGCAACCTCTGTGGTTAAACCAGTCGGGAAAGGTTTAACCCGTTAAGGCGAGAGCGCCATAGAGACTCCTGGAACCATAACAACTTCATGTAAATTAATGGAGTGTTCCTTTAAGAAAATTCTGTTATACCTGCAAAAGATGTGGTTGGTCAGCAAGAGGGATGGCTTCAGCTAGAGGAACTTCAAAAGGGTTTGGTGGAATACAACCCAGGAATGTCATGGAATCAGAGCGTCTGAAAAATGGATGATTCTGACCAGTCTCAGCTGGTAGTGTATCTTCGTCTTTGTCATTCAATGTGGAACCTGGTAACAGAAGTAAGACTGCTATACAAAATCGCGTGTTTACATGTTTTATGTTCTAATCATTAAGGATCATGCTTTATGACTAGTCACCATTCCAAGAAACACGTCTATTACTATTACATAGAATTGGTAGAATACAGCTATATATGAACCCCTTAAGGACGCAGGACAGAAATTGTCAGAGGCACACTACTGTGGGCAGTTTCACTTTCACAGCCCATGTGATCGATCTGACCTGGGAGTCAGAGCGATCACACGTGCTGCAGTGAAACCAGATCTGTCTTCCTGCAGCTCCGTGTGAGCTGTGAAGTGCAGAGAGACAGATCGGTGCTGATCTGCTGCTCTCTGCAAGAAAAAAATAAAAATATAGTTATAAAATCCCCCCCCCCCCCTTCAAATAAAATGTAACCCCTTCCCTGCCCTTTGATTACTGTCTGCAGTGATCAAAATACAGAGAACAGTATTTAAATGTGATATGATTTCTTATTTTAACCCGAGGATTAATTTTTTTTTTATCCGCAGGAGTTACATTTATTTAAATATTTGTAAGACATTTATTTAGATAGTGTGGGTGGAAGTTAGTGGGGAAATTGGGGGATTTACCGTTAGGCTTGTTAGGGGTTAACAGTAAAAAAAAAAAAAATAATTAAAAAAAAAAAACTTTTGAAAAGTTTAAACAAAGTTTTAAAATAGTAAAATAAGTTGTTAAAAGCTAAAAAAAAAAAAAATATGTTTGAAAAGGAGGGAAATGTATATTACCTCTAGCGAAAAAAGTATACCATGCCAAGTTTTAAAATATGCCTTTTGAAACACCCTGGGGTGTCTTCTTTAGAAAACGGTATGCCTTTGTAAAGTTTTTGGAAAAAACAACCTATTTAAAAAAAAAATTCCAAAGTGGGGCATGGACCCAACGTAAAAATTCGAACTTAAATGGCTGTATCTCAAACTTGCCCCTTCAACATTGTCATATACCTTGTAAAGGTACATACGGGGGTATTGCTGTACTCAGATGACATAACTGAGCAACATATGTATTATACTGCTGTAACACATATGGTTTGCAAAATATATATTACAAACTCATTGTGTGTGTCAAAAAGTCAGGAAGGAGTAAAAAATAAAATAAAATAAAAAAAGGCTTATTACCACTACACTTGATACAAGCTAGCGGAAAAATGATCCCACGATAAGGTTCAAAATTTGCCTTTTGAAATACCCTCTGGTGTCTTCAAGAAATAGTATGCCTTTTTGGGGTAGTTGGAAAAAAGTAGCCTGCTACCATTTCAAAATAGAATACAGACCCATTAAAACACTCCAAGTAAATTTACACTTAAAAACCTGAATTTGTCACGTCTCTTTTACATCACCAACTTCAAAAAAAATTTTTTTAAAAAATAAAAAATTGTGTCTAGGTCAGGCAACCTTCAGCATTCCAGATGTTATGGACTACATCCCCCACAATGCTGGCAAAGCATCATGGGAGGTGTAGTCCAAAACATCTGCAGTGCCGAAGGTTGCCTATGCCTGGTCTAGGTCATACATTTGGTTTATTGTTTTACTCAGAAGAAGTAACTGAGCATACTTAAGGAGAATTTATGACAGTGGCACTTATCAAATGTATGAAATACCCATTGAAAATGCAACATTTATGTAAAAAAAAACCTACCACAAAATTTTTAATAAATCTGTGAAAAAAATGGTGGCAAGTTAAAGGGACACTATAGTCACCAGAGCAACTACAGCTTATTGAATTTGTTCTGGTGTGTAGAATAGTTACCTTCAGGCTTTTTGCTGTAAACAATGTCTTTTCAGAGAAAATGCAGTGTTTACATTACAGCCTAGTGATAACGTCACTGGCCACTCCTCAGATGGCTGTTAGAGATCCTTCCTGGGTCATGGCTGCCTTAAATGCATCCAAACAGTCAGTATTTCCTCCCTCTGCATGCAGACACTGAACTTTCCTCAGAGATTTATTGATTCAATTCATCTGTATGAGGAGATGCTGATTGGCCAGGGCTGTGTTTGAATCATGCTGGCTCTGCCCCTGATCTGCCTCTTTGTCAGTCTCAGCCAATCCTATAGGGAAGCATTGTGATTGGATCAGGCTACCACTTCTGATGTCAGTAGACTGCTTTTGGAGGCAAACAGCATGCAGATCTACAGCTTCTGGCTTGAATACAGTAAGATTTTGCTATATTTATGGAGGCATGAGGAACTAGATGGTGGATATAACACTATAGGATCAGGAATACACGTTTGTGTTCCTGACCCTATAGTAATCCTTTAAGGTATAATATATGCCTAATAAGATACCCTGGAGTGTCTGCTTTCTCAAGTGGAAGGCCTTTGTGCGGTTATTTGAACAGTCAAATGGCCTTAATGCCACAAAATCAGACATATGACCATCTATGAAAATGCCAGCTATAGAAACTGAAATAGCATGGTCTCCTATATGGCATTGTAGCTTCACAGAATAGGGTATTGTTGTGCTCAGCAGATGTAGCTGAACACAATATTGTGTTCTGTACAGGGATACACACTAGCTTTACGAAATACACATTACAAAAACCTTGTTATATGTGTATATGCCAAAATAGAGAAAAAACTAAACTTTACTCCAATATTTAGCAAAGATTGGCGGTGAAATGGCTATGTAAAAAGTGTCAAAATAACCTTAGGTAAATAGCCTGTGAAGTCTACTTTATATATACTTTTGTGTGACAATTTAGTTTTTTGTGATGGTTACTAAACTTCTAAACAAACATACCAACTTCTAAAATTGTTTCCCATTGAAATTTTATTCCTTTATGACCTGTAACTTTCAAAATAAACTGAAATCCTTCACATATGTACTTTGTAAATCAATACACATTAATGAATTGATTTTGAATTACTTTTCCTAAGCTGGACATATTATGCACATGTTATTGCCAAAAGGTTGGGGGAAGCATTTTTTTTGTTTTCCCCATTATTTTGCATTTTTTTGAATAAATGAGAATTTATATATGTATATGTAACATCAAATTAAAGCCATTTTTTGTGGTCTAAAAAAAAACAGTATACAATATGTTGGTACAATAAATGAGAGAGATGCAAATTGCAGTTGAATACAAACAGCAAAAAAAATGCAAAAATTGCAACCTTAAGGGTATGTCCAGCTTCTGAACCTGTGTCCTTAAGGGGTTAAAACCCATCAAGTGAGGGGGCGGAGCCTGGCTTCCAGGCTGCATGGACTTGCTGAGACTAAGCTCCAGACTAAATAGTCACAATTTGGGGGAAAAACCCCAAAAAACGTGCACGTACAGCACCTGGAGGGTGATAGCACAGCCGGGCGCATCGACAGGTACCAATCGTTAACCCGACATTAAACGGGAACCAGCACCCGTACCAAGAGGCCTACTCGAGAAGGGAACCTCCAAATTACTCACCTCCTACCCGAACCGGCGGGGGTTACCCCGGTCCGCACAGTGTGCACCACTCTGCACGACGACAAGGCAGTGAGATCCCCACGAGGCACTCCTAAGATGGTGGCTGGTAGCGAATCGCTCATGCTGAACCTGCTCCCGCAAGCAACAATCTACCACGACACCACACAGCGCCTGAACGAAATATTCAGACGCTTCTGGCCAAAATTAAGAAACTGCCTGAAAACACAGACGGCGCAGGGACCTGCACGAACAGCGGGTAAGCGAGACAGCCGGCAGCGGGGACATGGGGGCATACCCTTGGGAATAGCGACGGACGACCCACGCAACCCCAAACCACAGAGCCTACCCGGGCGGAGAACAAAAGGGTGAAGACTGATGCATCGCCCACACCCACGGAGGCTCCAACACTGCAAACGGCTAAAGTCCATCAGGCCCTCCACTACCCCCGAAAGGGGAGGAAACTCGGGCTCCAGAAGCTGCAGAGTTCGTGGCACAGAGATGCAAGCCCATGCAACAGCCTGGGGCTGGAGGGGTGCCACCATACTGTCTACTGCTCCAGCAGCCTCCAATACCTCACCACCAAATGCTAGCTGCTTTCAAATAGACGGCATTGGATGATAGAGACTCACTACACAAAGCCTCCAGAAGGTCAGCGCCGGGCCCACCATCCATCAGCTTAATCTGACATACTGCATGACCAGGACTGGCGTCCATGGAGAGCAGAGGGCAAGGACACACGCAGCCCCGGACAACAGAGACTTTCAAGCATACTGTAAAGTTATCTGTTAGACAACTGTTATATTTTTACTTTTATTATTTCTAAGCATGTAATCTACATATCATACCATAAGCTCAAGCAGAAAAAAACAAAGTCACATGAACATGGTCAGCCTAACTTAGCATGTTAACCATGAGCCGCTTCATGTCAGTAAATATAACATACTGAAGTTCATACTGCATGATGTTAACCTTATGACATAACTTATTAAGCCTGCTCTCGACTAGATAGACAATGTTTAATTGGTATTAGCACTGTCGGCACCAATATTTGTCTATCTCCAGCCCGACAATCTTACTGTGACTCACTATAATAGACCAGCTGAGCTAACCTGTACTAAGCTTATTTAACGCCTACCAAACGAAATGTCTCACATCCTGCCTACTTTAAAAAATAAATAAAAAAATACTGTATAACATGTTCACATATCACAGTTACCCTAGCTTGGTCAATCAGGCACCATTAAAACTTACTTACTCCACCTGCTTAGACAACACACCTGCCTAGATATGCCTGTTTTCCATAGAGAGCAATCTGTGTGATTTAAACGAGCTTAATTCTTTCTTTTCCTTTCTTGCTCTTAATTAAAAAATGTGCACATACTCCTGAACACCCCAATGTTATAAGTGTTGAAACTCAGCGTGGGGATTGCTGTTGGGGCACCACATGCATGCTGTTATATATCTTTGCACTGCAAAAAAAAAAAAAAAAAGGATAACAGAACCCAAGATAAAAATAACATTTATAAATACTAACTCTGATTTGTGTCATCATCATTCTCATGTTCAGAATCTTCATTGTCTAGGCCAAGTTCCAATAATTCTCGGGTCCTTTGAAGCGTAAAAGGATAAAAGGTCAATTGTCATATGGGACAGAAATGCCATTTATCACACTAGACGAGAGGGGGTCTACATATAAACAAACACACATCACCCTGGACATATTCCCACACATTTTTTGCCACTGGCATGAGCCAAAATGTAACCATGTTATTTCTAGAAACCAAATCAATGCCTGTAGATACATAAACTATACAGTACCTCTTTCTTTCAAGTTGAGGAGTATCTAGTGTTGTTTGTTGATTCATTGCCTTAATCCAATAGATAAGAGCCTGGAATACATAGGCCACGTGTTTCAATGAGCAGACATCCAAAACAGGGAGCACATCAGAGTGTTCGTCATTGTGAGACCGCATTAGAGAAAGGGCATAGTTTAAAAAGTCTCCACGAGCAGACATTCCCTGTCGAGCGCTGAGCAATGTGGCTCTTCTAGAAGGAAAGAAGTTATTATTACTTAAACTGAAAGCAAAAGGTAGAACAAGGCTAGTGTAAGTATTTACAATCTTAGCTAACACTGTGTGTAAAACCAGGATAGCAATCCTGCACCAACATATGTAAACAGGCTCTTCTTGCACTGAAAATACAAAGTGAATGATGTATCTTATCCATCAAAACAACCACAGAATTACAAGGAAGTGCCCCTATGTATCACCTCTTTTTCACACAATTAAAGGACATTGTCACTTCAAAAATATTCAATATACTATTCAATGTATTGAAAAAAAAAAAAAAAACACTTCAAAAGGGAGGACTCCACATTTATCCCTACCATCAGTAGAGGATATGATCCTTAAACCATATACATGCAGCTTTGCTCGGCATTTGAATACAGTCCCTCTATGGTCTTTCCTGCACAAAACCCGGAAACACCATAGACCAGGGGTAGGTAACCTACAGCATTCCAGCTGTTGCACTACATCTCCCAAAATGCTCCTAAAGCTATGATGAAGGCAAAGAATCAGGGAGAGATGTAGTCCACAAAATCTGAAGTGCCAACATTTACCAATTCCAATGGATCCTGTCTTACACTAAAGGAAGGGGTAACTTTTTTTTTTTTTTAAACATACTTCATTTAAAAATAATTAATTTCAATACTTCATAAAAAAAAAAAAAGGTATTCACCTGTACTAAAGACTATCAACTTACAGGCCCACTTTAAGCATAATACAAAATTAATAGAGGTGCAGGAAAATAATGCATTTCTAAACATTGTAGTATTCATTTATCTAGTGCCCCCTCCCCCCCTTAACTTTTTTGTAAATATACATTAGCTTTAAGGGCCTACACCAGACTAACCATTGCACACTATGCCCATTAAATTTTAGTTTTTGCCTACCCAAAATCTTTGAACACACACAAGGAAACTTGATCTTCACTTTCAGTTGTCAACACTGAACAAAGTAATTGACAAATTCCTAAAAAGAACTAAACAGCCTGCAACATGCTGCCAGAATATCTGTACTGTAGATACCTTCTACCCTCCAGAGTGCGCAAACTGGCTTCTTCTCGTGCAGTCATCCTTTCTCGTCGGGTGGAATTTTGGGAAGCATGAAGTGGATGGTTGGGGTGGCCAGGATCTCCCGCAGATGACAATGCAGACCCATAACGTAGCTGGGCCTCTGTGGAGTCCATTATGCTGACCATCCAGTTCCAGGTTGGGATAAGCTTTTCTTCAACATAGTTCTGATACAGGCAGAAATTGCCATGGTTATTTTAGTATCTACACAATGTTTAATAATTAATTAAAATAAAATGTAGCTATAACAACCCAATTAGACTGTTTACAGTACAGCAAACACTAACAAAACCACACCATCATGTTATAGTTGCCACTTAAGGGGGTAAAAAAAAAAAAAAAAAAAAAAAGTTCCCAATATTATGTCACCCCATAATTTATCTAGTCTGCCCCCAGAGACAGCCTATGTCTCCATTGATGCCAGAATCCAAGCTCAACTCTTCCTAGCAAACTCCCAACTGTGCAAGGAAATCCTACCCCAGATCTCAAAGACATGAACAACCCCCAAATTTACTCCAGGCATGTTAATGCCTACAGCAATTCATTTCATTGAAGTCTTTATCATTACAAATTCAAAGGGAATTTCAACATTTGAAGCCAAAAAAGCACAACATGGAAACACTTATCAAAGTATGCTTTGTTTTCAATGTAACAAATTTTATTTTTTGCCAAAACTTGAAAATATTACATTCCCAACTGTTTACACTTTAATGAACTTTTAACAATGACAGATACTCAGGAAACACAAGTTTAAAATTTCTATTACATTAAACAAGTTATCCAAACATGGGACCTACAGTTTGATGTTTTCATTCAGGTAACAGACATTCCCACTTGAATGGCTATTCTGTGCTAGACAAGTTTCTTGCACAAACTGCATGCACAAAATTCATCAACACCTAATGCGTCATGATAGTAAGGTTTCCTGGATCTAAAAGGCTCAAAGGAATAGTCAAACGCAACTTACCTGCAAGTTAACAGCATCTTGATAAGTCAACTTCACAGCAGCAGGAATCTGAGAATACACTAGATGATTGTACTTTGGGATTAAGCCCATTAAATCCGATATTTGTCGTATGACTATGCTGTATGCTCTTGCCAAACTGCTCGCAGACGTCAGGTAGCTACTGGAATTGCTTGCCTCCAGGGCCGCTGCTGCGCTGGAGCTCATGTTACCACTCCGGCGCAAGCTGGATGGCTCAATGTAAATCAGAGCACCTGAACTTGCTGCATTGAAGAAAGGCAGGAAAGGGAAAAATATTGAAAACCCTTAGTTGACATTTTAAATAGCAGTATAGAGAACAATCAATCTGTACTTAAAGGGACACTATAGACATCTTAACATTTTTAGCTTAATGCAGCAGTTTTAGTGTATAGATCATGCATCTGAAGACTCACTGCTCAATTATATGTTTAGTAGTTAAATAACTTTTGTTTTATGTAACCCTGACCACACCTCCCCTAGCTGTGACAGCCTGCATAAAAATAAAGTAAAGAGAAAGATTATTTCATTTTAAATTAGATCTTGCAAGCTATTAACTGTGCAGGAGATCAATTCTAAATTTAACATACTGTGCAATAAAGGAAGTCTAAACATTAGATCTCAGTTTAGAGGAAGTGTTTAGAAAGGCTGCGCACGTTACATGCAGGGAGGTGTGACTAGGGCTGCATAAACAAAATGGCAGAAACTAAAGCAGTGAGACTGAGACTGCAGGGGCATGATCTATACACAATTGCTTCATTAAACTAAGGTTTTGGAGACTATAGTGCCCCTTTAAATACTAAGGGAGAATGTCCATGTTTAGTTATTTTTTTTCAGAAAGTTAAAGCATTGTGAAAAAATAGAATATATATATATATATATATTATAGCTGTACAAAACAAAGATTCCTAGAAGACATTTAACCTTTACCATAACAGAAAATGCTTTATTCTTGCTTTCTCAGAGCCATGACCAAGTGAAACTCAAACTAGCGTTGTCAAAATAATATACATACATACATACACACATATATATATATACATATATATATATATATATATATATACACACACACATATATATATATACATACATATATACATACATACATACATACAGAAAACTTTAACTTGCAATAAAATTCCACTTGCCTGCTGGAGTGGATGTGCTAGATGGAGCAGCATTAGGAGTTCTCTGACTCTGGGTGTTCCTCACTGCCCATTGCATGGAACGAGGAGCTTGGGCAGCACCATTTGCGTGGGTGGAATTTGTGGATCTCTCCAGAGGTTCATCAATCATGAAGGTCTCCTGGTCCAAGTCATCACTTTGGCTACTGCTGCTGTCTGAGTCACTGGAGTCATTGGACTGTGAGTCGTCTTCAGAAAAAAAGGCTGGGACACTGCTTGCGCCTGAACAAGAATAGATGTGTTTTAATAACTGTAAATCAAAAGGAACTCACACTGCCTGATATTCACGCTGCATATGATACAGACCTAAGCATATATCTTGGCCCATCAACAATGGCACAGACACCTATTTACACAGTAAGACTGACCTAGCAATAGTAACCAAGGCTTGGTTGGCCCTCACAAAACACAAAGGGTACATCAGTAACTTGTACATAACGGGGAACTTACTCTGAGCAAAGAAATACTAAAGACAGGGCTCAAAATCTATACTCGCCTTTAGCCTTTGAGAGTGAAAATGCATCCCTGGTTTGTAGACATTTACCACTAGTGAATGTGCCATGGGACCTCCAGGCTTACACTGGCAAGTAACTTAAGGTCTGGCTAACAGTGCAAGTCTTATAATTTTAAGCTCTGCTATAACTTCTTTAAAATTTCTTAAAACTTATATGCACGGCATTTGCAAAATGAGAAGATTGCCATTTCGTTGATACCCAAGTTTCATTTTTGCATATGTGAGTGCATCTTTGTTGTATTACACTATTGTATTTAGTTTTCCCTTTAGTTTTGTATGTGTGTATATTAACTTTAGTAACTATATCAGCCTCAAACAAGGGCACTCAACCTTTGGCACTCCAGATGTTGTAGACTATATTTACCATAATGTTCTTACAGCCATAAGGAAAAGAATCATGAGATATGTAAATCCACAATATCTGGAGTGCTGAATGTTGCTTAGCCCTGGCCCATGCAGTGGCTTGGAAAGACTGATTGTGAAAACAGCAAGCATAATCATAATATCCCATTATATTTCATTTAATACATGCTGAAGAACACATTTAAAAAGGAACACTATAGCCTTAGGAATATTGTAAAATACTGTAGAACTGGATTAACAACACTATAGTATGCTCTTGCTAGAGTTCTACCCTTGCCCACTCACCCCCAGCCCTGGCACCATCTCCTCCTGTGACGTCACGACAATGGAGGGCCTAATGCGCATGCATAAGTGCTTCCCCACAAGAAATCATTTAATCAATGCTTTCTTTTGGGGATTTTGAAGACGCTGGACGTCCTCATGCACATCGTGAGAATGTCTAGTGTCATTTCACAGAGTATTCTGGAAGCACATCTAGTGACTGTCTGCAAGGCAGCCACTTGAGGCAATCTTAACCCTGCAATGTACCATTATAGTTAGTCTGAAATTGCAATGTTTTCACTTGCAGGATAAAGGTGACAGGGACACTGCACCCAGACTACTTGCATGAGATTAAGTGGTCTGGGTGTCTACATAGTATCCCTTTAAGTAGTTACTGGAGAAAATAAAACCTTTTACTGGGCTAATATTGTACCTGCTTCCGAACCAGCAGTAGCTGCAGTCACAACACTTCTTCTACCACTTGCGTTGTCCTGATTGCTGTGATTACTCTCGCTGTCACTTTCTGTTTCTGCGGCAGCAAGAAGATCCAGTTCCATGTCACTTCCTTTAAAAAGGTAGAAAATTAGATTACAAAAAACACCATTACCATCTTTAGTCATGGTGTCAATATGTTTTTGTAAAAGATGAAAAAAAAAAAAAAAAAAGAACACCCATAAGCCTTGTGTGTAAATGGCTACAGATCTGAGCGCTAGTTATGCACTGGAAATATTTGAGTAAACCGATGTTTTATGAAATAAATGCATTTACCATCCTCATCATGTTCATCATGTTGTCCCTCAGCTTCTGCATTCTCCTCCCCATGTTCCTCTTGTTCGTCATGGTGATCTTCCTCTCCAGCCACACCTTCTACTACTTCCACCTAAGAAGCATTACATAAAAATGTTTGCTACAAATACATTCCCAAGATTTTAAATTAAATTAAAGGCGCTTTATTTGTAGGTTACCAACAATATGGTAGAAGGATGGTGGGGATAAACCAATAATCTGTTCACTGATTATTATATCCAATATTTGGCCTATTCTGATCATCTGTATTGGTCTGTTTGGGTTTTTTTACACACTTTTTAGGCAGGGAGGTGAGACTGATTAATCTACTATAATGTACTGGGTTGCTGACAGCAATCACATGTCCATCAGTAATAACACTGTGCATGATGGAATCTTACCAATCCCAGCAAATACTAGCTGCCTGAGAGTGATAGGAGTGGGATTGTTATAGCACATGTACAGTTAGTGCTAGATTTGTGTAGCAATCTGGTTGCTTAAAAAACCCCACCTTTAATTGTACTGAATATCAGCACCAGTTATAACTTGTAAGAAGACCAATAACCTGTATTAGCATTGGCTCTAGAAAACATATTTGACAATACCCAATTGCAAGCGCAAAAAGAATTGGAATTTTTACCAACAGTCTGGTCTTATTAATAAAAGGTCAGATATAGCAAAGGAAATCTCTGGCCTTACAATGTAAGAAAAAAAAAAAGTAAAAAATATGTTTGACTGGGGGCGGGGCCTGACCTTCATGGAGAGAAGTCGCATGTCGGCTGAGCTCCGAGCTGAAAGCGGCAAATAACCTAGCTAACGACTACAAAATAGACGGTGCACCGCCGAAAACTAAGCATACCCCTGCACAACAATATGGGGAAACGATCAAAGAAGCTGAAAGCATCCTCGGACGACGGCACGCGTCGAATAGGAGACATATTCCTGGCGAGGCCTAAAACCAAAATGGCGGCACCGCCAGACTCCCCAGGCCTATCCTCGGACGAAGACCCACTGGACTCCCCAGATGCCATACCTGAGGCAGATGACCCTTTCTCCGCCGTGCAATTAGGGGACCTGGGGGATCCCGCAACGAAGGGAGACATCTTGGGCCTCCTGAAACACCTGCGCACATGGTTCCGTACGGATATGGCGCTGCTCCGTGAGGAGGTAACAGCCGTGACGGACAGGGTGAAGGCCACAGAGGAGGATATCACCTCCATGGCACAATGCCAGACAGACGCAACAGAACGACTACAACAACTCCAAGGCTCACACCAGGCCCTGCAGGCCAGAGTCAATGCGATGGACGACTCTAGGAGACGAATCAACATAAAAGTAAGAGGCATCACAGAAGCTGTCAACGACACGGAGCTACCCCACTTTATTAGGCGCCTCCTGTCGGAGACCCTGCACCCCAAACAGGCGAAGAACCTGCAACTAGATGGAATACTCAGACTCCCCAAGTCCGCAAGGGCTCCAGCAGACGCTCCCCGCGATGTCCTCCTGAGGTTCCAGTCCCTACGCGACAAACAAGCACTGATGGACGCCATCAAGAACAAGAGCCCGCTCAAATTTGAGGGCTCCCAACTAACCTTTCTCCAGGATCTCTGCAGGGCAACGTTGGAGTGGAGACGTTCTATCAGCCAGGTCACCAAGACCCTTCGAGAAGCAGGCATCCAGTACAGATGGGGCCCTTCCCACACACTCGTAGCCACACAGGGCGAGACCACCCGCCGACTCACCTCAGCTGCTGACGCCGACCCATTCCTCCACAGCCTGGGGCTCAACCGGCACAAGCCCGACACTGCCAAACCTGGACACTCCTGGGACATATCCAACATAGTCCCCTTTGTACCTCGCACTGAAGCCGACACAGGATGAGACGCCCCAACCAGACCCGGGCTCACAATACCCCTCTGGTAGAGGGAAGTGCCGAAGGACTGGCAGGCGATAATACCCCTTAATGTTGACATAGTCATAAAGTTAAAATTTTATGTAGGCATGTTCAGTCAAAGCCATCCGGCTACTATAACCTACTAACGTCCCCACACCACTTCTTGCCAGACACACCACCCGACTACCCCCCCCCCACCAACTCAGGGGCCCTAGAGCGATTCAATAGCTACTCCACCCAAACGGGAACGATAAACCAGCTCCCAAATCCAAGCAGCACACCCCCCCATCACAGCAATAGTCACAGCACACGAACCAGCATGCATCCTCACCAAACATCTATAACACAACGCTGCTATCACGGCACACCAAGAGGGCTACTCTCTAGGTGACACACTCGAAAGCTGCGACAACCTACCTGCTGGAGTACTAGCCCAATAGAACCTAATGCCTGCAGTAGCCCGCACCTTGGGACAATTGACTAGCTAGCTAACTCCCTGCCCCCCCCACCACACTGACCGGCCATACACTTATATATTGTGCCCCAGTGGCATACCGAATATGTACCGTAACTCCACCTGATAGGGCTAGGAACGCACCGCGCAACACACGGTGAACAAACTAAATCTAACCTATCCAAGGGACAAGACGGATAGCCTGCTCACTTATACATTGGACCACCCACCTCAAAACCACAGTACACTTATATTACAGTCAGTGTGGACTAACAACAGGGCATAGCTGAGCACACTCCAATCACACCACATATTCTAGCAACTGTAGACCTAGACTGTTTTTTCTTGTTCTGCAATGTAGTAATTTTAACAAAAATGTGCAGTAATATCACGTGCCATTCATATGTATATTAATGTCTTAATCTGTTTGCCCAAGCTGTTGTGGCACGGCAAGCCTGATTGTCATATTCATGCACAATAAAATAAAGAATTATAAAAAAAAAAAATGTTTGACTGACTTGTTAGAGGGAGAAAAGGCATAGTGTTATGGTGAAAGTTTTCCCCAGTCTATTCATTTTGTTATAAATCATTACTGCACTAGCAGATGCATTTAGTGACCTTTTTTAAATGGACCCTCCAAGTGACCAAGACACAATCAGTACAAATGCATGAATATGAATTTAGAAAGTTGTCTAAAATTACCTCTTCCACATCTGCTGAGACAATGTCATCTTGTTCTTCATCTCTGCCTCTCACAGGCTGTGACTGACTTATTCTTCTTTGTTGAGGATTTCGTATGATATAGGATGATTGAGATGGATTAGAACTGCATAAGAAATGCAAAGGAAAGAAAGGGCTTTAATTCTGTGTAAAAACTCCACATAGAAATAGATGACACATCTATCATAACGGATATGGCCTTAAAAGGGACACAAACATTAAAATGGCATGGTTGCAAAGACCCTGTTCCCGTTACCCTGCAATTCAAAACATTGCTGTTTTAGAGAACCAGCAAGGTTTAGATTACAGGGTTAGGTTAAGGTCTAGAGGCAGCAAACTCAACGAAAGCACAACAGATCTGCCATTTGTTGAATAGACTAACAATTGTGGAACAGAAGAGTGAATAGAGAAGCAGAAAAATAAAATAAAAATTTACACTATGGGATGTCAGAATTTATCAGTACACAAAACATACCTGCTTGACTGATCTGAGGACGGTCGTGGTGGGAGAGGTTCTACAGAAAATAGTTCTTCACTACCCTGCATGGCGTCTATACTTGTACTAGCCAAGGTGAAAGGTGCTGTAGGACGTGCAATGCCCATTCGCACAGGAACTATCAGTGATTCAGCAACGTTACATAACTCCTCCACAGCATATGGGAGCAATGCTTGGAACACTCGCTTGCACTTGCCAATTGGCTGTGGAATAAAATTGCTGAGGAAGAAGAAAAAGGCCAAAGATCAAATTACAGAAATAGGATAGTCAACCTCTGCAGCTCTAGGAGAGAGGAGAGCTTTTCTTCATTGTCCAGAAATCACAAAGAAATGTAGTCTTTGCATTGTATATTTATGCATGGTCACTGCTCTGCTCACTTAAAAAAAACAAAAACAAAGTGCAAACTTACTTTTTCTTTTTAGAAGAAGCCATTTCAACACTTAGAATGACAAACACGCGTGCCACCGAACGGAGAAAGCGCATAGTTACAGCAACAGCTTCTTCTCTACGCCCAGGCGTGTATTTGTTCTGCAGTTCCTTTACAAGGGTCCCCAATAAGGTGTCCAAAAGCTTCAGGGGAAAAAAATAAAAAACAAACAGACGGTCTGCATAATCAGCATTAAAATTCTGCTAACTTGGATACTATATACATAGGTCATAACTGCTTTTTTACAAAGTACAAGCTTTCGTGAAAATAAACAATTTCCATCGCTTTTGCATTTCTTAAAGCACAAGAAGTGCTTCGAGTTACGGCTTTCCTACAAAACGAATGGCAGGCAATACCAAATGCAGTTTGTGTATAGTAAAACTTACCAAAATGTCTGCAGTACACTTCACAATAAGGCAATGAGTGAAACAGTCCAGGCGAATTGTACCACTTTGTTGGTTGAGATAAACCTGTTCTTCAGGCAAAAGATGGCCAATTCGACTGCTGGCACTAAGACTTGCAGAAAAGAAAGTTCTAGGTTAGCACTTTTGATGCAATTGTAAAGAGAAATCAAACAAGTGATTTTTTATTTTTTTTTCAACTACCCCCTCCCCCCCGTTTCACAGACAGAAAGATCACCCAATAGACTAGTGACTCACGGGTCTTTGTTGTCCTGCGATCCAAACATGATCATAGATTTCAAGGCATTCCAATCTTGTAAGACTCGTTCAAGAGCAAGTTGAGCAAACCTTGGTGGTTCTAAGTCATGATCTGGCATATCTGAATCTAAAAAAGTAATGAGGGGAGTGAAAGTTTATCTCACTGGTGTGGGGTGGAAATAAAAAATATAAAAATCGATAGACACACTCTACTCTACATTACACTAGGCTCAGTTAACGTTATAGGTTCAGACAAACTGCAGCATCACAAGATAAATACACAGACATCATGGTACAAACTTCAGACACCCATGGAGAGCCTTACATTAAGTTGCTATGTGGGTCTTTGGCTGGAGTTTTATGACCTTCAAGGTTATTTGAGAGATATCCAACACTTAAATAATTAAAGCTTTTTATGAGGTTATTGAGCTATAGTAGTAATACATTTCTGACATTTTGGACTATCTTGCCCATTAGGGTCAGATCATTGCAATATAAACATTATCTGCAGAGAGGGATTGGAGGAAACTATAGAATGGATAAAAGCGAAAATAAGTTTTTCAAAGGGCAGACATCAGGAAGAATGGAGGCTGGAAGAAAGACAAATTCAAGAAATTTGTGTATGCAGCATTATCTACATCAGACTAGCTCCACACACCATGGACTCTAATAATTTCAGGTAGTTATGGTGAATACATTGTTCATTTAATTTTGGATAGAAAATCAAGAACAAGGGGGAGCAGGGGGAGGGGCACGCTGGGGAGGCTCTGAACTAAAGGAAAAACAATGTTTAATCTATAAAGTCTTACAATGTAGAGATTACATTTAGAATGTTTCATTCACATCAAGGGCTAAAACCCCATTAAGAATTTATCAAGAAAATTTACACTGAGGCCTATGTCAATACAAATGGCAAAGCAGTTTCTACTTTCAAGCACAGCTCCTGGCAGGTGAATGCATTACATGTATAAAGGTCTATCAATTCAAAATCAGGGACTTAAAAAACACTTCTTCGCACAGAGTAAAAAATATTACCAACCTTCAGGATTGGCTGCCTTACGGTTCCGATCTTCTCTAATACGTGGAGGTCTGTATTGGCAGTGTTCTACTGTCTGCCTAGCAACTGTCTGAACCAAGAAAAGAAGAAGGTGCTCTCCTCTGAAAGACAAACAAAAACCTCCATTTCACTCAAACACTTTTAGGTATGAAAGCTGCAGCTATGTAAATCGTGACCTAACTTTTCAAATTGGTTATCAAAATTAACCTATTTCAAAGTAAAAAATATAAAACGTATACGCTGATGCAAAAAATAAAAAAAATATATAAATGCAGAATTATAAGCTGGTCAGAGGAAATAATTGGTTTGATTTAAAATATAAGTCACACACCTGCTATTTGGCATTGTCACCAAGTTTGTGATTGTCAGTAGTCTGTACAATAGGTCAAGACGAGCAGCCTTTTGGCCTGCAATTAAGGTTTTACATTTACATTTTTCCCAGCAGTCACAATAGGCTGTAGGTGATGTCCTTTTCAACCTAAATTGAGAAAGGTTATTAAAAACGTTTCTTGAACGAAATTATGAACGTACATGGCACATAATATATGCTATCATCCGTATCATACATACTTGCAATCATGGCCTTTATGGCAGACTCTGGCACATTCTGTACAGCAGCAGAGAGACTCCAATAACCCACATGTCCGGCATTCAAATATGTCCTGGGAAGAAGAAAGACACACAAAGTATATTTATCATTGTGATGCCACAATTACTCAAAAAAAATATAAAAATAAAAACCATCAGAAGTAACCCTTAAGTTACATGGGAGTGCCCCCAAACCCTTGTGCTGACAAGCAGGCTCTGCAATTGAATTGTAATTTCACAGATTTAACGATCCAGAATGTTTACAGCTCTACAGAGCTTTCTCAACTAACACATAAATGGGAACGGAAAGGTTCAACCAGTTAGGAACAAAGTGAATACAAACCGTTAATATAAAAGTCACCTCAGTATTACAATACTACTCAAAAGAATGCCCCAGTTGCTTGCTACATACGCATGTACCATTTTTTCTCTTCTGAAAGTGATTGCCAATAGGACTATATCAAACTTCTGGAGCTCCGATCGGGCTTACGTGTAAAAAGATATTAATAGCCAAAAATCTCCAGCATTGAAAGAACACACGAACACACACACACAAACACAGATCATGGGGCACAAAAACAGGAAGCACGGCCGCACAGAGGCTCTGCACCAGCCTGATAGACTCGAGTGGCCGCAACACCAATCCAAGATAGCACTGGAAACTCACAGCACGCCGGATCCATCAGAGGCTTCGCTGGAGGAGGAAGAGGAACTCACCACACTCTGGTGCTACATCACGTACCTCCGAATCAGGCGAGGATGAGGCACCCTCAACAAAGGGAGACACCAGGAGACTCCGGGTAGACCTCAGGAGGGTCTGGAAGGAAGACTTCCAGGAAGCCGAAGCTGAAATTGGAGTGGTCCACAAAAAGGTACAGGAACTGGAGGGAAGAGAGGCTGCCAGAGACAAACACCTTCAGGTGACTGACAAAAGACTTGACAGCCTTGCGCTCCAGGTACAACACCTGAAATGTGTAGTGACCACCTTATAGTCACGCCATAGGAAAAAAATAAAATTATACGCCTAAGGGATCTCCCAGAAGACAACAACGAGGCACTACCTGCGTTCATTAAAGAGTTACTCACTCAGATGGGCGTTAAGGGGGACCCACGGTAACCTCTGCATTTCGGGTGAGAAAATCCACCATGGCCCGGCCGTAGCACCCAGGTACACAATCACTGTGACCAGAGGCGTAGCAGCAAGATCGGCGATCATGAACTGATCGAGGGAGATGGGTGATAATACAACACAGGGGGCACAAGATATCTATACATGTCGACATCCGCTTCTCAGTCCTGAGAAAGCAGGCTCCAATTGCAAGGCGTTTAAGAGAGCACTCCATCAAATACCGTTGGGGCATAGAGGGGATGGTAGTCAACGGACAAGAGACCACTAATGTCGACAGATGACCCAGAGCTGCTTATGCACACACTGTGCTTATCAGCCAAGCAACGGGAAGCCGCCTCCGAGGCAACAGTACATGAAGAGAGGGGCAGAGGTAAACCGGTGCAACCGCTTAATATTAAGCCTTGGACACTGCAATCTCTAATAAGCGAGCGAAACTCGGACCTGAATTCTCCAAAATCCCTAGGCACCTCACCTAAAGCACCATGATCCCAAGTAGAACGCAACCCAACACTGCAATAGTCCTTCACACAGATGCCTAGAGTACATAAAATTTTGTATGAAGGCTCCCAAAAGACTCCAATTCCTTTCGGTTTAAAATATACTGGTTCTAAAAAAAAATAACTCAATGTCCATATGAAGTTAACTATTTTTACCTGGTTGATATGGTCTGCCCCTGTCCAGGTAAAGCTGCAGGTATCATTACAGCACAAGACATAGAGAGGGGAGTCATCTGCATTTGTCCCAGGAGGACAAATCATTCCTTTGAACACATCTTCCTCTTTCTCACTGGAATTTGCTTCAGCTAAAATGGAATTTCACATTTAATATTTGTATGTGTGTGTGTAAGTCCAGAACATAAAATCTTAAACAAGTACTTAATTTGTGCTCACCTTTAGCAATTTTCTGTGCAGTTTCCAATATGGTAATAGCAGCAGGATAGGCCCTACCACTAACAGCTGACATGAAAGGTGTCATTCCTCTAGCATCCCTGAAAAGAAAACAAATTACAAAAAAAATAAATAAATTATTCAGAGGTACAATAACGGTGTAATACTGCTTTCAGTGCTTTTCACAGTAAATGATCCAATGACAATACCTTCAGAATCTGTACTGTATGACACAATGTTAAATGGATAAGCTCAGCTCCCACTGAAGGTAATTATAACACTGGTATTGGCTGAGCTACTTCCTAGTATGGTGAGAGATAACTGAAGTTCCCGCTTAATTACAAGCACTCAAGGTTTGCCACTTCAGATATATTATAATTTATTTATACATGCAGATAACTTTTAATATAAAGTGTACTAAGCAGAATGCATGTGGAGCAAATGTAGATCCAAAGTGTGTCATGCAGCAGTAACTTGTAACCCAGCTCATAACACTTGTAAAGTGTCAGCAAGCTATTGCGTTCTTTGAAAAGTAAATCTTACTTGGCAGAAAGAAGGTCTCTGAGGTAGGGCTGTAGGACTGTGCTATCACACAGTAACTTGAGAATAAAGTGTGCATTGGCCTTGCGGTCTTTGGACTCCACCACTGAGGGTTCAGAAGAAGGACCTACATGGGAATTGGGAAATATAAATAAGATATTTATATAAAGCCAAGACTAGCAAATATTAACTAAAACAAAGTCTTTGACATGGTAATATCTAAAAAGAGGGTTTGTAAATTTCAGCCCTGCAATAGGTGGATAGGTTTTGTGATTTTCCCTTTAACTTCATTATGGAAATTCCTTTCATGCATTTTCTGAAAGATCGACTAACACGACAAACTCATCTATACCAGTTTTAATTTTATCCTCCTTTAGGTTGTACTCATATGCACAAAGTTTTATTAAAAATAACATTATTTATTTATATACATACATACATACACACACACAATTAAGTTTTCCTGCTTACCAGGTATGGTTGAAGTACTAGCCCCCTGGCCAGTTCCTGTGGATGCAGTGTTAAGGGACCCTACGGCAGGGGCCAGGATAAAATCGATGTCACCATCTATGAAAAAGTAAACCGTTAAGCTACAGGTGGAAAACTATACAAATAGATCAGATTGGTCAGCTGATAATTCGTGTGCCAGACTTTGCTAATAAAAAGGTAGCACTGAACATTAAATGCTCCACAGATGTATCCCCCTAGTGATTTTACAGACAAGTTAAATGAATACACCTACAGTAAGTAGAGCATTAAGAAAGGAGATTATTTCATTGGGCTCCTATCAGGCTAGCTGCTGCAGTGTTTGCAAGGGAAGGCTCAAACCTAGCAAATTCCCAAAAAGGTGGTATACCCTTAAGGATAATAAGATTTAGCAACATTTATAAGATGTAATGCCTGATATTAGCAACATTCTTTTAGGTCAGTTAATTTAAGTTAAGGAACATTGTAGTGTTTAAATTCCCAACCTGTATAAAATACACAAACCAATACCTCACCTTTTCCCAGCTCTGCCGCCACCCCTTTGGATTGAGTCATTCTGGAGGCGTGCCAATCCAAAACTCCTCAGAGGAGCATTGGGGAACGTAGGCACATGTGGCGTTTGCTGTGATGCACCTATAATTTCACCATAAAGAATCAGTGAATACAATGATTCTCTAGGGCACACCATGATGGCAATGCACATGTGTGCATTATGTCAAGGTATGTTACAGTATGAGAGTTGGGAAGTAAGAATCCTGACTCGCATACCAGGAGGGCTTGGATGCATGGCTTAAAGCCACATTTCCAAACCTTCTAATTAGTTTAATATTGGGTTTTTGGGAGTAGGACTAGTAGGAGTAGTAAGAGAAGCTATAGGAACCCATGCTCTTCATCTCATTGAAGTTGTCTGGGTGCAGTGCAACGGTCTGTTTAACCCTGCAAAATATTGCAGTTTCTGACAAACCACAATGATTACATTGCAGGGTTAACTTCATCTTTAGTAGAGGCGCTTCCTGGGCCATAAGGCAGTTTCAATCTGTGAAATGACATGTCCTCGTGCTTTGCAAGTGGACGCATAACGTCTTCAAATTTCCCATAGGAAATCAATGATTCAACACTTTCCTATCAGGAAGCTTTAATGTGCATGCAGCGCATTATGTCCCATAATCACTGTAACATTGAGGAAGGAGAAGAACTAGCTTTACAGTAGAGAGTTGGTACGAGTTTGTATTTCTAATGAAAGAGCTTTCCTTTTATTTCACTCTGACGAAAGATGCATGAAGCAGAAATACAAGTAAACTTCTGTGGCAACATATCCAATGACGGCATTAAATGAAGTTTTTGAAAAAACTCACCTGGATCCATAGCTGGTGGATCAGGGACCCAACTAGGAGGTGCAATAGGAGGAGATACTGGGTCTTGATGATCATTGGAAGCTCCAGATTCATGTCTACCAAGGCCTGCTGCCCTAAGAGATCTCCTCATCATCTCCCGAAGTCGCAAACTAAAGACAAAAATTATTGAATTTGTTTAACAGCAGTATTTGAAATACACCCATGATATTTCTTATTTTGCCAAATTTACTAAAGACCGTTACAAACACATTGCAGTTTACTAAACTTTAGTGCAATTTTATTCACATGGAGTAGGAAGAAAAAAAAAGAAAAAAAATTAGAATCTTATTCCCATATTTAGGAAAGACATTCTCATGTTAATATAAGGCATGGCACAAACACTTCTAGAATTGATTTCTATTTACCTCCGGCTACTAGAAGACCCAGCCCGATTCCCAGGGCCGTTACTTGACACCACAGAAATGGCATTGGCAATAGCTTCCACAGCAGAGAGTCTTTCTGCAAACGTATTCCTTTCAGAGCGCTCTGCTTCTGAAACAAGGAGAACAGTAATTGGTATACAAACAACACAGAATGACATTTAAACACATATTTGAAAATATTTTTGGCAACCGCAGTTTCACAAGTCCACCTTTCATCCAAGGTGGTTATCTTTTACATGTATTTTAATTTTCCATGTTACTGCTGTAAATTACTATCAAGAGGACAATTTGTTTTAGAAATGTTAGATGAATTTAAATTTACTATTCCTGTAGAAGAGGAGTACTTTTCAAAAGTCTTCCATCTTACTAGGAAGTAAGATAGCAATATAACCAGGTTAGGCAATTAAAGTGACACTCTTTGCTTCTACAATATTTAAATGGAGCGATAAAGCTTCAATGATAATTAGGCTTGTGATATTACTGCTTCCTGCAGAGTAATTTTGACATGCACACTTTAAAGGAATCTAAATTCTCTATTACCACTTTAATTTAGTTTTTTTAATTATTGTAAATTTACACTTTTTTCCCCATTGATCCTTAATTAGTTAATGTTTGGGAAGGAAAAGCTTTAGACCGTAAACTGTTCTTTAATGGCATCGTGACTACATCAGTATATAGTATTGAAGATGCCTATACTATTTCTCTAATACTAAACACAAATAAAAATTATATCTATATAGTGATGGGGAAGGGGAGGTGGGGGAGAGACAAAAAAAAAAAAAACCACAATGGAGTAATAAAAACAGCCACTTGACAATTTAATATTTTTACCAGAAACTTGTATTTTGCATACAAATATGGGACACATTTTAGATTTGACAAAAAACAATTACAGATAAGACAAGCATCTAGACGTACCCTCCTCCTCTTTAGTTTCTTTGTTGCTTGTTGGAAAGCAAACGGACACACATGCATGCAGAATATTTCGATTGCCATCACAGCGGTGGCCAAGAAAGGTCTGTAGCATCTGTGTGTTGTTCTGTTCCAAAACAACACCTTGCTCTAGGTTCATCAAATATTGTCTACATGCCTCATAGTCACAACGCAGAATATGCTGCATCAGGGTCTGCTTCTGCAACATAACAGAATTAAATTGTACAGAGAGTGAAAGATTAAAAACAAAAGCCATCAACGCAGACCAGCAAACCCTATTAAGAGAGAAACAGGGGCCCAAAAAAAAAAAAAAAAAAACACAACACCCCCTAAATGATCATGTTATATAGCCTTTGCATATTTTATTGTAAACAAAAAAATAAAAAAATATCTCCATATATCATGCCCACTAACTTTATCCCTGCGTTACAAGGGTTAAGCTCTGTTTTTTGTTTGATATCCAAGGTTAACCCCAAATCCTCTTTTGTTGTATTTAGTATTTTTGTCTGTTATGGAAGGAAGGGAAACCCCTTTGATCAGAGAGTACTGCAATATCTGTATGATGACACCTCGACAGAGGTACCCTTGCTATACTTGCAGCCAAAGTTATGCAAAAAACAAAAACCACACACTTTTGAGGCCTTGAAAATGTAAAAATAAAGTGCTTATATGAAAGATGAGTTCATATCAGTAATGTAAATAAAGAAGATATGTGGTCGGGGGAGATCGACTTTGCTGGAAACAAAGACTGAGATATATAACGGAATGCCAGCCTAGATCAAATTGAACTTCTCTTGAAATGGATCAACATCAAAAAGGACATAACTGGAAGTTCCCACTAGCCTGCTGTAAGATTTGCAGTGATAGTAGAAATAGTGTAGGTTATGTGCTTCCACAGGAGAGTGATGAGCAGCGTTCAAAGCCCATTAAATTTCTTTAAATGCTGTGGTAGCAAGAACGCACTTCAGCAATCATTTAAAATGTGCGAGAGTACAGCACTGATGCCTATGTAGCATAAAGTCAATTCCCTGCAGCCATCAATGGTGACAGCTAGGAGGATTGACACTTCCAGGCAGCTGTAGCGTCGCCCAGCTCCGAAGTGTCAGGAGTAAGAAAAAAGCAGACAAAGAAGTTACTACTTTTTAATCCTTGATTGACAGTGAAATTCTAACAGTATGAGTATTTCATACAGATTACCTCTTATGAAATACAAGATTTTTTTGTTTTTTTTAAGGGGGTGACAGTGCCGCTTTCAGCATAACCTGATCACAGTACAACCTTATCAAACGTTCTTGGGTGGTGGCAGCAGAGTAAATCTGGGGTGGAGTAAGTGGGATTTGGGTGTTAATTTAGTGTCATTTTATGACTTTGTAGAGGGATAATGTAGCCAAAAGCTTGGTGCTATTAACCCCTCTATGACCACATTCACCCCACTGTCACAGGATGACACATAGGCCTCCCTGGGACACCATGCATTTCTGGATAGGACAACCTCCAAATCCTTACTACAGACGCAATTGAAAAAAATAATACACAAATAAAAAACACACCCCAAAAGTAATAAGACTTCTATATAAAGCAGTAGTTTATCTCCTTATTCGTACCTCCACAGCCATAATTATTATGGCAGCCTTCTTTTTAATTGTTGAATTTGCTGGAAGATTAGTTAAGGAGTGAACGCCCATACCAAGGCTGCTAATTGGTGGAAGATCAAGCCAGTCAGGATCTCTTATCCCACCCATACAATCTTTAGCCATGGGATAAATGGTACCATTTCCATCTCTCAGAATGATGGGTGATTCCTTAAGTCAATGGAAGAAGTGAGAGAGAGGGAAAAAAAAAAAAAAAGTGTTAGCTATTTTACAAAGCTCCCTGAATTCTGACAACGAAACCTATACAATTCAAACATAACTTTATGATGCAGCTTCCTGTTAAGGTGTATAAATCTCTGTACAGAATATGGGTTATGCAACATTTGCATAATATGAGTGAACACAATTTGATTAAATGATATGCTACATAAATTACCAAACATAGGTCACTATTGTATGTTTACAATAGAAATATGAACGGTCAGTTAGTTCTAACTACTTTAACCTATATGGGAGGGAGGGGAGGGTGGAAGTGTGGCAAATATACACTAGAGCAGGAGCAGACCCCAAGCTTTTCTAGTCACTTAACGCTTCTAAAGTTACGTATAATAAAGTTATGTGTAATCAAACCTGTCCAGCTGTAAAGATGGCAACATTTCTCTCATTCTGCCCCAGAAAAGCAATACTGCTGGTGGGAAAATTGTTCTCCTGTTCAGCTTTGCCAGTAGCAAGATCAAATATACAGTAGCGGACCCATGTTCCAGTCTTCAAAACCGCATGAACACCTGTTTAGAAAATAATTATATCATACGTGAGAAATACATGGGGGGGGTTTATAAATAAGCTACCAAAGCACACAGAAATTTAACTGGATGCTTTGGCCACAATTAAATTTTTGGGGGAAAACACACACACAAAACATTTAAATCCTTACAATTTTAAAATTTTAGCATCAAATAGTAAATAATTTGAAAGTCTTCTCCAAACACACACAAAAAACAAAACAAACCTGTTAGTGTACCCAAACATTTTAAAAATGCATAGTCCGTTACCTTTATTTCTTAAATCAGATGTTAAATATTTGACAGAAACCAATACGTTTTTCCCCTTTCAATCAACAGCTTACTTTCTACTGGGAAAAAGTGTAATGTACAAGAATTAAACTTCCTTTTTATTGTATTTCCTCACAAATTCTACATGCTAAAGAGGGGATGCAGTGCTGTTGTTGCACACTGCACTAATGCATTAAAACGTTGTAATAAAAGTGGCTTTTACCATCCAAGCTCAAGTGGTTCCAAGACATACACCAGTCTACTAAATACTTACTTCAAACCCCTTAAGTTTGAGCACATTCATCCCAGTAAGGTGGTGTGTCTAAACACACTTTGTTCATGGCCTGTATGCTTTAGAAGGCAGATTCTCCGGTTTTTCCTATGTAGATGTCCCAGAGCAAAATATATACAATTTTTCTACTCTATAGGTCTATGATTTTTATTTTATTTATTTTTTTACATAAATGGACTTTTCTCTTTCGTGGATACCATGGAATAGGACTACACATGATACTCTATGCATACCCCACTCCAATCTAGGAGGCACACAAAACAACAGTCACATGGCAAAGCCTGCCCATTCTAGTTTGGTTGATGTACACTCAGCTACACAAATGCAGTTTTTGTCTTTTCTCAAATGATACAATGGATGTGTCAGGAGGAAGGAAAATTTAAAATCCATCATCGCACAAAAATATTTAGTGCACAAAATGTAAACGCCACATACTGTAAGAAAAGTTTATGGTGAGATAATTTAAGGGGAAAAAAATTTAAAATATTCAACCATACTGAGAAAAGGTCCAGATGTCTCCGTAACAAGTCAGTGTTTCTGACCATTACCTACAGCTTTGAGTTGAACCATGTTCAACACATTATAGCCTAATGCAGATGAGAAACAAAGGGTTAGCAATATATTTGTCTGTTTAGTGGGGGATACACATACAAAAGTGCAATGCTAAGACCTCGAACCGGTTGAAACGTTGCACTTTGCGTGTACGCCATAGTAAATACTTCCACCTACAATTCCAAGGAAAGAGCCTGAAAAGTGACAGCACTAAATAATTTAGATTTCTCTCATCTGGTTTTACATTACCTTTGGAATCTACATTTACGGCCAGGATTTCAGTTTTTTCAGGAATGCACAACTTTTTAGGAGTCCTTTGGAAACAGTCTGGGACTTTAGGCGTTCCACCTGTTTTCACCACCTAGAACAGGTTCCCATTCACAAAGTTATTGGTAATACCTATTTTGTTAGAATACCCATAACAAACCCACAAACCACACACACACATAACTATGTATTACTGGATTCAAGGAACTATACATCGTTTGTACTGACTATTATACAGCTCCAATGCAGACTATGGACACAATTATTAGAGCTGCCTTAACATTTCTATTTAAAAATACATCATATGACTAAGCTCATGGGCTTTTGCAAAGAGTAAATGTATGCATCATGTTGTAAATGATTTGTTACATGAAGAGATAGTTGCAAAAATTTGGAGTGCGCTTTAAATCTGCATGTAACAAACCAACCAAAAAAAAATTATAAAAATAAGCACACTAAGGGGGATCATTAATGTGTTTTAATACAAACTAGTTCTCCCCTCACAAGATTATATAATGCATAAATAAATTAGCTATTCCTCGGTTTAAACAAAAATTGGAAGAGGACATAAGCAAATTAAGTACCTGAAGTTCATCAATTCTCAATAACCGGCAATCTTGTAGGAGAGATGATGGGTCGGGCTCACAACCAGGGTTACACTGGCTACTAGAGTTATTGGAAGTACCAGGGAACTTCACAGCCACATAGGCCCCATCCACTTTGAGCACCTAAAATCAATAGCAATCCATGTTTACATGCACAAATTACTTATTAATCCATTTAAAGGGCATAATATTTGAAAGAAAAGTTACTTTAAGGTTAGGCTCTCCCTACCTGTTTATTCTTCATCTTAGAGTCAGCATAGTCCTTTAAGGCAACAAATAGCTTGGAGGTGAGAGCAGGAGAACCCTCCTACAGGGGGTTCTGCTGCTCTGTAGCACAGCAAATGCAGTTGTATTTACTCCTCTAGTCAGGGCTTCTTGAGCTGGGTGTAGGAACTGAATGATTGTTAACTCTAAAGTATAGAGTTCAAGTATGCCACATGTCATTCAGATTTTTAAAGGGTTACTCCAATCATAACCACTACAGCACAATGTAGTGGTTATAATGCGAGGAGTGTTTCCTGGCCGGTTCCCCTTACCTGGGTCCAAGTCAAGTTCTGATGCTCCCTGGTGGTCCAGTGAAATTTGCCCAGTCTGCCGCAGGCAGAAGCCACGGTTGTCACCAATCATTAGCGAAGAGCGTCAAACGACTGCTCTCATCCAATGAATAATCACGTGCAATGAAAATAAAACAGAATTGACATTAGCCAGTGCCAGAACTCTAGTACCAGGCTGGCTGATGACACTCCAAAGACTCTGGTGGAGGCAGTAGTGGGGTTCAAGTGTGTGTGTGGGGTTTTGTAGCAAAATGCTCTCAGTGCCTTGAGTATGTATGTACAGCATTTCAAACCACTGAATTGGTCATTGTGCTTGGAATAACCCTTTAAATTCCTGCTAAAATTAAAAATGCACTGTATTTGCAACAATGCAGTAAAATAAGACTATGAAGTTAATTTAGCTGGACTTTAGAAAGAATCATTAAGAATAATTCAACATATGACACAAGCAGGAGGAAGTATATAGCAAACCGTTTAAAGGAGCTAAGGATTTAAAATGATGCTGGCCAAACACCCTTTGTATACAGTATCGACCACATACATACATTGTTAAAAATATATAATCTATAAATCAGAATTGGTCACACACACTTCATGACTATATAAACAAACCTTGCCCACTGGAACGTTCTTTACATCTTCAACAAAAACAACTTCCCGAAGTGACCACTGTTCTTCATTCACCTTTTCTTCTTCTTTAGGAGCAGGGGTTGATCTCCTTCGTTCTAAGATACAGATCGTCAGTTTAACAAAGAAGATTTGAGTACATCAGGGATGCCCAAAGGCAGAACCCCACATTACTTGGAATTACACCTTACATGTTACATTGTCATTTAAATGCAGCTTTAAAATATCTGTGGACCTACCTTATAGGCACCCATGGTGCATACTTTGGTTAACTAGTTTTTACATCAATATTTATAGCAGCTATACTAAATGTTATACTAAATTCTAGTTCAATATTACAAAATCTTTAAAAGGCCCAAAAACTTTAGTATTAACCATTTTGGGGAATTACAACACCAAGCAAATATAAACTGCCACATTATGGCAGAACTCCACAATTTTAAACTGTCAAACTAATGGAGTCTAAACCTCCCTACAGTTTTTCTTTTTAGTTTTAATTGCTGTAAACCTGTGTTTTGGAAATTTACCATGGATTCTTAATTAGAATCCATAATTTTATTTTAATGTGAAGTGGTGCATACTTAAAGGGACACTTCAGATCCCTAAAGCATGAGTGAAGAGTGTGTCCTATTGCTTACATTTTGCAAAAAGTGCAGATTCCAATAGAAATTGACACTTATAAAATAACGTAGTTACCCCCAATGAAATCACAATTAAATGCATGCAAGTTTGGATTTTGGGTACACCCACGAAACTGATCTTTATTGCTTTCGTATTTGGGCAGTGTAGTGCCTGTCCGTTTAATAAACCAAAATTGTGGTTAGGAGATAGATCGGGATATTTAGAGATAGATATAGAGATATATATGCTTGTATAACACCTGCTTCTTCTCTGTAAAATTATTTCTAGACTGTGAAAATCTTAATAAATCAGAATGTTTTAAAAATATATACACACACACACACACACACACACCTTAACTAAACCAAAATTATATATACACACACATACCTTAACTAAATAGAAATAAGTCCACTAGAATGCTATACAAACTACAATCACTTTAAAATATCACACAAGAAACATGAAGCATAACATTTTTTTATTTTTACATTCAGACATTAATATTGTTCTCGGACTAGCTACACTTTGTTATGACAGTCTAGAGCAGGGATGCCCAAAAGGTAGATCCCTGTTTTAAAAACTACAGCTTCCATGATGCTTTCTCATTCCAAAGACATTCAAAAGGTGTGCAAAGCATCATGGAAGTTGTAGTTCTACTGTTTTGGGCACCGTTGGTCTAGAGTAAGTACAAGCGTAAAGGGACACCAAGCAGCTTTTGCTCAATTAAAGGGACACTATAGTCACCTGAACAAAGTCAGCTTAATGAGCTTGTTCAGGTGAGAACTAAAGCTCCCTGCAGCCTCTCATGTAAACACCATTTTCTGGGAAAATACAGTGTTTACATTGAAATGTAGGAACATCTCCAGTTTCAGTCACTCAGTTAACCAGAGGGACTTCGGAGTTGATGGAGGCATAATATGCCTCCATCCACTCAGATCTGCCGTCAGCAGAGCACAGGGCAGCACTGTGCATAGCATCCTGTAATTCAGTATCTCCTCCCTCTGCATGCAGGCACTGAACTTTCCTCATAGAGATTAATCGATTCAATTAATCTCTATGAGGAGATGCTGATTGGCTAGGGCTGTGTTTGAATCATGCTGGCTCTGCCCCTGATCTGCATATTTGTCAGTCTCAACCAATCCTATGGGGGAAGCACTGTGATTGGATCAGGCTACCACATGTCAGCAGACTGCTTGTTTTTCTGAGTCTAACAGCATGCAGATTTCCAGCTTCAGGCTTGAATACAGTAAGATTTTGACTATATCTATGGAGGCATTAGGGGCCCAGGGGGGGCTAGATGGTGATGTTAACACTATAGGGTCAGGAATACATGTTTGTGTTCCTGACCCTACAGTGATCCTTTAAGTGGTTTTGGTATTTAGGTCATGCCTGTGCAGTCTGTTTAATTCACAGCCATTTAGGCTACTGACTCTCAGGGAAGGCTGTGACTCTCACCCCTACAAGCTTCCCGGTTTATTTTTTTTGTCCATCTGTTTTTATTGAGGCATTAGAGGATAACAATGTAAGGAAAAGGCATGGATTATAAAAATGCATGAGAACATCAAAGCTTAGCATTTAAAAAAACATGAGTATGGGTTATATGATAAGCAAATGTGGATAGAATCGTAGTTTTGCATCCTAGTTTAAAAAAAAAAAAAATTCAACATGAATACATGTCTAATTGCTGGGTATGAGTTAACTTTTCTTTCAAGTAAGCAACGCAGACATGGAGAGCAGACTAAAGCAAAACTGACTCGAATACCACTGAGAACGAATAGGGAGATAAAATAACAGTAATTCCTACAATGCTGGTAGTATGATAGCACCACGATGTTGCCCATAATCAGCCTATGCCACATCAGAGAATTGCCTCTACACGGCATGGCAGTCAAATGTTTAACCTTCTCTTAGAGTGTTTACTTCAGAAGTTTCTATCTTCTGCTTTGTTAACTGTCCTGAATCCATATCTTGGGAGATCATGTGCGCTTGAAAAAGGCACATTCTAGGAATTGTGACAACACATTTTGAATCACAATTCACATACAAAAATGTTTTACTCTTGAAGTCACTTGAAGAACTGACAATTATATTGACTAGCAACTCGGCAAGTTTAATGCACTGGTCCTACTGTAGGTTATCTAAATTACAGCAGTGTTATCTAAGAGATGCACTTTGCTCTTCATCTCATCACGTTATGTAAAGTAAGAACAGATCATTAATAACCATAGAGGCATGGTCAGCAATCTGACTAGTACCACGGTTTGGTTATCTCTAGCCAATGACTTACTGTATGGCATGGATGCACTGCTTGCTATAGATGAGGCATCACTGCAAGTGGATGCTGGGGATGGTGGCGGACCCATCTCTGTTTTAACAGGTTCTGGTTTGCTTTCAGGCCTGTAAAAGAAAGAAAGGGAGTACTGCGTTACACATGTTGAATTATGGTAAACAGCTGATATTTTTTCATTTGGAGCGGTAAAAAAAATCCCCTATCAAATGCATAATTACAAATTGGCAATTAAAATGGCAGATGGTAAAAAGACTGAGAAGAAATACGATGCTCACTTGGCCTCTGTAGTTTTGCTGGATTTCTCCAAGTTTTTCAGGCTCTCAGGTGAACGCAATTGGAATCGGCAGCTATCATTCATATTCCACACAGACTCCATCAAAACTCCAACTTTTGGAATTCCAGCGCTGATGGAAAAAGCCACTGCTCCAGCATGGTATAGAGGATTATTCCTTAAACAGACCTGAAATAAAGGTACAGTTGTCAAAACTTAAGTCATGCATAGTTTACCAGTTCTTTTTAAATGATAAAAATATAAAATATGCAAATGCAAATAAAAAAAATAAAGATAAAAAAACAAACATACACCATAAAAATATAACATACTTTGGAGCCACTGGACAGGTTTCAAAAGAAAACTGCAAATTCCTACAACCCATAACCAAATCACTATACAGTACTAAAAACAATGAAAAGGAAACTATAGAGTCACCAAAACAACTTTAGCTCAATGAAGCAGTTTGTGTGTATAGATCGTGCATATGAAGTGTCACTGCACAATTTTCTGCCATTTACATCACGGTTTCTATTTATGCAGTCCTAACCACACCCCCACTGGTTGTGACTTACATCTGACTAAAAATGAAATAATTTTGTTTTCATGCAGCCTGTGTCGTTTACTCTAGAAGTGGTCATCTCCGACTAGATAAGAAATTCTACATTAAAAAGAATTTGCAATAAATTAAGTTTAAATTTTAGATGACTCTTTGCAGGAAGTCTGTGCTAATCACATGCAAGGAAATGTGACTAGGGCTGCATTTACACAGTGATTTACCTCTTAAATGGCAGAGAATTGAGCAGTGAGACTGCGGTGTTATAATCTATACACCAGAATTGCTACATTAAGGTAAAGTTGTTTTGGTGAATATAGTGCTCTTAAATGTTTTATGTTCTCAGGACTTCAATTTAAAATTGAATATATAAATTATGAGAGTTACCTGGGTTCCAACTGTAATATTTGGCATGGAAGAAATTCCACCACTAGATTTTGGTTTCTTATTTTTAGCACGTGCTTTTTCAAGCATCTTTTTCCGCTGACTGAACGGAACAACTCCCCTATACAGGACAAAAAAAAAAAAAAATTAGACAAAATTAAAGTTTATAGATACAGGTTTTCATACCAAAGAACAAGTGTTTGTTAAACTCTGTTATAAAGTACTGGGTAAGCCACCATCATCTTTGAAGAACAGTTCTTTTACTAAATGAATACAACACACGGAGCCAAATGTACACGTTGTGAACGAAACAAAATGTAAACAAAACCTGGCATTTGCGCTACATGTCTGTCCAACCGTAATTCGCCTCTTTCATAGTAAATGCACCCACCCTTATTATATATCATTTTATTCAGGGGAAACAGGGCTTTCATTTAATATCAAATATTTAGCTATGAAACATAATTTAATTTGAAAAAAAATGGGAGAAAAGATTTTTATTTTTTTAGTTCTACATGACATTTTAACTGGCAATGTCATAATACGGTTTGCTTTTACTGCAATAAAATACACATTTGTATTCAGCAAAGTCTCACGTGTAAAACAGTACCCCCTATGTACAGGTTTTATGGCGTTTTGGGAAGTTACAGGGTCAAATATAGCACGTTACATTTTAAATTGAAATTCGCCAGATTGGTTACGTTGCCTTTGAGACTGTATAGTAGCCCAGGAATGAAATTTACACCCATAATGGCATACCATTTGCAATAGTAGACAACCAGAGGTATTGCAAACGGGGTATGTCCAGTCTTTTTTAGTAGCCATTTGGTCACAAACACTAGCCAAAGTTAGCGTTAATATTTGTTTGTGTGTGAAAAATGCAAAAAACGCTCGGGAGAGAATGTTCTACTCAGGAGACTTCGCTGACCACAAACATTTGTGTTTCAAAACAGTAAAAAGTATCACAGCAATAATATCGTCCGTGCAACTGCTGTTTGTGCATGAAAAATGCAAAAAACGTCACTTTTACTGGCGATATCATAGTTGTAATACATTTTACTGTTTTGAAACACTAATATTTGTGTTCAGCGAAGTCTCCCGAGTAGAACAGTACAGGTTTTATGGGGGTTTTGGAAAGTTATAGGGTTAAATATAGTGCTAGCAAATTAAATTCCCTTTACTTTTGGCATGGGTTGTCAGGCATGTTCTGCTAATTGTAATTAATTAAGATACCCAATTATGTAAAAAAAATTACATAAATCTATATGTAGAATTAATATATGTATATAATTTTTTTTAAATATTTATTTTTATATAGTGATATATACGTATATATTTATGTATGTAGATATATATTATTTCGTTCTACGTGTATTTTGATATAAATATATATTAATATCACAATACAGTTACAACGAAATAACACATTTATATATTTTTATTATTTTTTAAATTTTTTAACGTATTTACATATTTAATTTTTTCTATTATATATATATATAAATTATATATAATCAGTATCAGTCTACGTGTAATTTAATATATATATATATATATATATATATATATATATATATATATATATATATATATAAATAGTAAAATACACCTAGACAGTGTATGTGTGTGTATATACTTAGATCATTCATATATATGGTCTTGAGAAAAGTCTATTGTGACTGAAACGTCGACATGTTTGTATTCTGCACAATAAAGCAGTATTTATTTTGATATAAAACGAAGACTCCAGAGTGCTCTCTACTTGGATGATAGAGATATCTATATATAGATCTAGAGATATCTATATATAGATCTAGAGATATCTATATATAGATCTAGAGATATCTATATATAGATCTAGAGATATCTATATATAGATCTAGCTCTAGAGATATCTATATATAGATCTAGCTCTAGAGATATCTATATATAGATCTAGCTCTAGAGATATCTATATATAGATCTAGCTCTAGAGATATCTATATATAGATCTAGCTCTAGAGATATCTATATATAGATCTAGCTCTAGAGATATCTATATATAGATCTAGAGATATCTATATATAGATCTAGCTCTAGAGATATCTATATATAGATCTAGAGATATCTATATATAGATCTAGCTCTAGAGATATCTATATATAGATCTAGAGATATCTATATATAGATCTAGAGATATCTATATATAGATCTAGAGATATCTATATATAGATCTAGAGATATCTATATATAGATCTAGAGATATCTATATATAGATCTAGAGATATCTATATATAGATCTAGAGATATCTATATATAGATCTAGCTCTAGAGATATCTATATATAGATCTAGAGATATATATATCTATATATACACACACACACACACATATATATTTATTTATTTTTACACTTTAATTTATTTTATTTTATTTTCAGCCAGCAGGGGGACCACCTGTCATTACAGGCAGCCCCCCTGCAGGCAATGTAGGAGGCAGCTACCCCCGGCCATGTGATTGTGGGGTCCTCGCAAGGACCTCACTCTCACATGGCTGGGGGGGCTTCCAGGGAGTCGGACGTGCCGCGGGGGGCTCCCTGGGAGTCCCCCCCCACCGCGATCGCCGGGGACCGGGAAAGTAAAGAAAGACTGGAGGGCGTAAAATTACGCCCGGCGGCCTTTAGAGCTGCCTAAAATAGGGCGTAATTGTACGCCCTCCGGTATTAAGGGGTTAAAAGTTAAGTAAACACATGAGAATGCACAGTGAACAGAGCCACACCAGTCGCAGTAAAAATGTCAGCATGTTCACAGAATACTTTGCATCCAGGTTTTGTCCTGTGCAAAGCAATCTCCATGCTTCAAAATTAAGTGTGCAGGCTACCATAATAGAGTGTTACATGCACAGAATTTCTTATGTAGACTTTCTAGATGGACACTAGCAAATCGCCCCAGTAAAATGGTTATATTGAATCCAAGTTCTGCTTATGGCTACTATGCCTTGAACAGGCAGGGGTGGGGGAGGGGGGAGGGAGAGTGAGAAAGTCTCTATTGCAGATGCCACTAGCTTATCAGATATTAATACAGTAGAGTGTACTAGTACGGCCTAACATGGATAACAGGTAGACATGTTGACAAAATTTCTACTCACCACCAATATAAGTTATTCTCTAGCTGTGCACAGGTGTAAAGAGCACAGCAATGCAAAGACACAATCTTATCACCCTGCAACTCAGGGAAAATCTGGGCAGTGTGCTCCAGCTTGGAAGCCACAGAACTTAATGTTTCATCAACCCACGTGGCAACCTTAGGAAAGTAAAAGAAAATCCATAAATAAAATCATATACAACATCCAGGAAAAACGCTTTACTTATGCTATTTAACCACAAACACACAGGTTCTTAATTTTTTAAAAAGTAAAAAAAGAAAAAAAATATATATAATATATAAAATAAAAAAAAGATTCAGCAACGTAAATAGGAGATTTGTACAAAAGACAGTTTGCCTTGTGCATACTTTGATCTAGAAAACGTGTTAATGGGTACAGACTTCAAACATAACTTTCATCCAAGAAGCAAACAAAAATCCAAGCGGTGCAAACCTTGTTGCTCTCTGTAGCTACTGTAGCTCGTATACTATTTGCTGAAAGTAAAACTATTTTCTCATTTGCCAAGCCTAGAAATGCTGTTCTTGGGTGATGTAGTGATGGATTCTAAAAAGGAAAAAAAAAAAAAAATGTAAACAATCTTCAACTGAAAATTTTTTTTTTTTAGATAAATAATAAATTGGTTATAAAGAGGAGAGAAAATAAAGTCACTACTCAAAAACCACACAAAAAACCCATAAGATACTTATTGAACTATAGTAGCAAGTATTAGGTTGACACATTTCTATCTAATATTTAGAAATGACCATCAAAACAAACAAGTGAAATTAATAAAAATACAAAATATTTAAAGGCAAAAAGCTGTTCAAAGGCAGCTGCCACTTTTACACTTTCAGGACAGCCTAAAAAACTAAAAGCTTGCAGTGCCATACACACAGCACATGCGCTGCCAGAGAAAATGCTGCATGTGCATGCACACATATGCCATTTCTCTGTTGAAACATGGAAGCATAGCAGAGATAATTTTCTATTTTTCCTTTAGCTTATCCTTACTATGATATTCACCACAGTAAATACTAAAATAGCTGATGGAACAAGGAACGGTGACTTTTCAGCTTTAAGTCAAGTATGTTTGCTGCATGATACAATCTGACCTAATATGTCAAGAATGAAGGAATTTCTATAGAATGAAGAGTGGCATACAACTGTCTGAGCACTAACCTGTGGATTCCTGTAAGGTTCAGATTCCATCCATTTCCATTGATACAATTCTCCTTTACTGCTCACTGCAATCAGCTCTGAATAAAGTGCTCCAATGGAAATAAATTTTGTTCCATCCTATAAAACCCCATTAAGAAAATTTAAATTAAAAAAACAGATTAATGCAGTTGATATTCTGGTTTTAGCATATCAAAACTTTAGACACATTAAGCAAGACATATGAATTGAAGCCTAGAATCAGGAGAGAAAAGAATGAGTGAAGCTAATCTATCTCCAACACAAACTTAATTGCTCCTTAAAAATTTGACTTCCCATTTGAACAAGCACCCCTCAATTAACAATATAGTCAACAAATTACCTCAAATCTGCCAAAGGACACATGGTTCCAAAAATGTAAAGATATGCAACTTATTCCAAACCAAATTTGTTACACCAAGAAAAAAAAAAAAAAGGGGACATTAAGATTGTTACGAAAAGGAGACCCAAGATGTATCTTCTTCACAGAAGATGTATGCTATGAATGAATTAGTGTGTACCACTAAGCTTAACTGCAACAGCTTGACAAAAAAAAAAAAAAAAGTATATCAAATGCATATATATATATATATATATAAATAAATCAGTAGTTCATTTTCTACATACATTTGCAGTTTCAATGTTATTATAAAAAGTTGCTGGATGGGGGGGGGAGAAAAAAAAAAAAAAAAATACACACACACACACACACACACACACACAACTCTTCCAGCACATAATTAAGACAAGTCGTACCTTTTCTGGCCACCACTGCAGGTCTTCTCCCAGTGACACAGGGCTTTGTATTGGGGTATTCTTCTTATCCAAGATGGGCTCACCTTCTTTACTTGTGGAGCCTCTTTCATTATCGAATGAGGCCCCATCAAGCCACCTCCGCTCACGCAAACGTAAAACTGACTCACGTTCGCGCAACAGCTCAGAGTCTCTCTCTAAGGGAAGAAGAAGAACTGGTATGCAATTGGGTCACACCAGTGGGATAAAAGTAAGCCAATCTCTATTTAAGACCCTTCTTTTCTACCAGCAAGTAAAGTCTATATTAATAAAACTGAATCCCAATCAGTACTATTTACTTGGGCATTGAGAGGGTCAAGCTATAGTCCAAGTTAAATAAAATTGGCTAAAGCTCATTTATTGGGTTAAGTATTGTAACGAACACTTTTTTTAGGCATTTTTTTTCTTCTTTTTAAGAATAAAATCAGCAGAGCCAGCAATGTTCAAGATCTATGAAATTATATTTGTACCTTTAAGGTTCGTTTTCTGGAAAGAAGCTTACATAAAGCACTGCAGAAAGTAACAAAAAAAGCAATAAAGTACACAACTGGGACAAGGAAAAAAAAAATAAAAAATAAAAAATCTGGTATAGACCAGTCATTTGTGGAACTAGAATTTATATAACTAATCCTAATTTATATAACAAACGGCTCCCGGTTTAATGAACCTTAAACACCTTCTAGCTGCCTAACATTAAGTTCAACATAAAAAAAACTTATGACCACAGAAAGAGCTAAAATGCTAAGGCTTTACAACACTGAAGATTTTAATAAAAAGACAAAAGGCACACAATTACCTCTAGATGAGCCTATCCTGGAAAGTGAAGAGCGCCGAAAAGATGGATACCCAAAGTAGCTAATATCTTCTGAAAACATAGCATCAGCATCAATTATGACACTTGGGTGAGCAGAATGAATGTCCGCATCCAGCAGTGACATAAGATCCTCTATAAACACAAGGATCATAAGCCATTATTAAGCAAAACAGTAAAATACACTGGCCTGAGAAATTACACCACATTCAAGAACAATGATCTTAAATGAAATCTAACCAGGTCATCCGCACGAATGTGGCTAATATCAACTTCACGTTATCAATTTAAATCTATACGCTGTGCTGGTGAATGGACCAGCAAAGGCAGGAAACAATTAAAAACACGCACAAACAGTAGAAAGGACCACTATAGGCACGCAGATCACTTCATCTCAATGAATGGTCTGGGTGCAGTGACCCTCTCATTTTTCTCCTGCAATGAAAAACACTACCGCTTTGTAGATCTGCCAATATTTACATTGCAAGGCTAAGCACACCTTCCACACCTAGGAAATGTTTCAGCTCCTGCAACCAAGTCAGACTGTTCTGTGACGTTCAAGGTCCTCACCCATTGCATGAGGACGTTGAAAGTTCTGATGGTTAAAGGGAATTGCAGGAGCTCTGTGCTTGCTGTGTATGCACTTCTTGTACCCAATGCTTGTCTGATCAAGATTAGATCAGACCAAGTAGACGCCTGCAAGAAGCAAAAAAGGTGGCTGCATGGTGCGTTGGCATGGAGGAAAAAAAGTAAAAACCCATTAATTTCATTTAGGGGGGCCATACTAATCACGATTTAGAGGTTTGTATTCCTATCACTCTAATATTGTTACTTTAACCTATACATGTGCTAGCACCAACTCTGGATGAAATCTTATTTCTCCAATTTAAAAAAATAAATAAATTAAAAAAACCTAATGTCACTTTCATAAGAGCACTTCCAATAACTATACACACACATATTTACAAACATAAACCGTGTATACATACATAGGACCTAGGTCTTTCAAGATACTCACCTTTGAAGGCCCTAATTTTTCATCAGACTTGCATCTTCCCCCAGAAAGCTTAGGATTAGAAGTTTGCAGCAAACCTTTAAACAGTCCTAATAGTCTCACTATTTTCAGATTGAGTGCTCAGCATATTCCACAAATATATTAACTAAATTCAGAAGTCTGCAGCAGTGCCATTTATCACACAAAAATGTGAATTGAACCATTTTCCATATTGCTGCATTACAAGCGAATACGTGCTTGGAACCATACTAGTGTCAGAGTGTTCTTTTATTTTGTCCAGTCTAACCACACTTACCTCCAGGCAAGTAAGATTCGCTAGCAGTGTCATCTCCATCGTCACCATCTTCATCATCACGACTCAATAAATTGTTTACAGCAAGGTTTACATCAAGATTTGTCCTCTGTAGCTCTCTGATAATGACACTTCGAGATTTTCCTTGAAGGACAACTTGTGCCTGCAAAAATCAAAGGTAATAGATTAAGCGCAGTCTATGGGCTATGCTATCTTGGGCTTTCAGCAACAGAAATCAAAGCATGTGTAAAATTACAACAAGTTTTGACACAACAAAGTAAGATTAGTTATAACATTGTTTTTTCATTAAAAAAAAATGGGCATTTAAAATAAATAAAAATTATATAATCCTACATGAGCAGGCCTCTACTACTTTCAGATATATCGCAAGACCAGATTTTATTATTTTCATGCTAGTCTGAACTCCAAATCTAACCACAATAGCAATACTATTCCTGGTACAAAACCCTCAAAACACACTTTGGTTACAATGTCTATTAATCACGAAACCTTCGAGTAGACAAAAACTGGGCTCAAAATACACTAGATATACCTGAGATATTAGTTCCTCAGGTATAACAGATGCTGGAATAACTGGCTGTGGTTGGCTGCCAAGGAGTCCAGAACCTCTGTCTCTTCCTGTGCGAATAACACGTGTCTGCCTGCGAGAGTCACGAGCACCAGCAGATGACCGTCCAGAAGATCCCCCTCCGCTTCCACCCACACCTGAGCTCCAACGACTGCTAAAGTGATAGGGAGAGAAAATAGCAGAGACAAATGTATCATCCGATCAACAAAAATGTATTTTATTTTATTTTTTTTATTTAAAAAAAATAAAGGATCGGGCTTTTTAATGTCTTCTAAAAATAAAAAAATTCTATGCAGTCATCGTAATCCAGCACTGGAGAACATTATGAATTCATGGAATGGGATACTTAATACACCCCATTTTTATACAGGCACATATAGTCAGTGGCCCTTAAAGGTGTGCCCTTTAACATGCTGCTTTAGGATCAGACATGGAAATGTGAATACATATTCAGGTTTGAAAAACATACACTAAATTGTTATTTTAAAACCAACTTGAAAAATAGCATTGTCTATACCAGAAAGAAAATCTTGTATGAATAGTCAACATGGAGCTAAATGGTGCACTTGACAGCTTTAAGAGTAGGTGTGCAAAGTTACAATTTGTTAAAAGGGGATGCTTGTACAGAAGTATAATGCAGATCTGGAGAGTTCACTATACAGAGCTTCAGCCTTCATCCTATGAAAAAAAAACTTACCCAAGGGTGTTGCCTGCAAGTCTGCCCAGAGTTTCAGAACCAGACAAAAACCAGGGAGAGTCACTAGTCCTGCCTGGTCTGGATGTCCTTCCTGCCCCTGAACCAGTGTTTAACTTTGAACTGGAAACAAAAAATGGAATAGAAGTCAAAAAAAATTAAATAAAAAGGTATACACGCGGGAAAAAAAAAAAAATTATATATATATATATATAAAAAAAATATTTATATAAAAAGACAAAAAACACCACACCATCTGGGCTTTAAGAAAGCCTGGATTCCCAGGTTTAAATGCTCGAGGACTTAGTCTGGCAGACACAAACCTAAGCAACACCCTTGGGAAATTTAGTCTCATTTAAAAAGGTGAGGTGCAACATAAGCCAATATCAGCTAACATTCATTTTACAAAGAAGCACACCTTGCCAAGAAAGTCAACATATGCAAGTTGTTTGCATTGCTGCAGCTTCTAAAAAGGTAAAAATGAAGTAGTAGAAATGTAGCTAACAACCTGAAACATATCTAGAAAGGTAAAAGATGGCAGTATAAGCCTCAAACACAGACAGCCATTGAATGTTCAATCCACTGGTTTCCAAACAATTTGTCAATGATCCAGGACGGCATAAAATCTGCAAATAGTTTTATAAGCCATGGGGTATCTACAATTGCACTGATGCTTTTTCTAGACTATAAGAAAATGTAATCTGTAAGACGACTCATATTGCAAGCAAATGCACAGAATAAATTAAGGGGAGGCACATATATGTATACTACTACAGTGTGCTCATTGCTTAAACACTAAGAAAGTATACAATCCATGGTTTGGATTGCTCCCTTCTCGCTGTTATACTATGAAGATTGTCCAAAACACTATAATCCCTGATTTTAAGACTGGACACAAATACTGAAAAATGTAAGCATATGGAGAGACTTCATTGACTAGACTTACCCATCATTACTCTCTGGTTTACTCAATTCTAGTCTATCTGGTTGAACAGAAAAGCCAATTCTGCAGACCCTGCCATCCTGAATGTTGATAAGGGGAAAAATAAAAATTAGACAAACTCAAATTTGAATTTCAGTACATTAACACTGCTGGTAGTGTTGCATTTTACCTCCAAAAGGAAAGCAGCATGATTGGGTCCTACTACACATTGTTTTATAGTGGTTTGTTCAAGTACGTTCAAAGGTGGATGGCTAGAAGGAAGAAAAAAGAAAAGAAAATTGGTCAGGAAGGCAAACATAAGCACTCTTAAGATGTATAATAACCGTAGATTTTGAACGATACTCTTTCCAGGTATCTGAATGTTTGCTTGTGACTACTATACATGGAGATGTTGGAAAGAACCGTGATCTGCCACCACAGGGATTGCATTGATGCCAGCATTTTCAGGCCACTCAACCGAAACAAATAAGTTACCAATTCAATGAGTGACAGTGTAAAAATATTATTCGTCACTACAAGGGTAAATTATCCCCCCCACCCCTAATTTGAGTCTCATAATAACAACCCTCTTTGCACTTCAACTGGGACAGCTGGGGTAACAGGCAAAACTTAAGAGCAGTAGCTTAATCTTTTGGCAAGATGTTGGAAAATACAAAAAACAAAAAGTCTTACGGTATTGTGACAACTTTGGAATTTAAATGGAATGTTTCTGGGGTGAGGGAGACAAAGCTGCTTTAACCACAGAAAACTTAAAATATATACCTAAAATCCAGTACAGGGACTGATCCCTTACTGCAGAGAGATAAAGCATGTCCATCTGTTGAAACAGAGGCTTCTCATAGAGAGGCACTAGATAAACTTGTATTTTGTTTCAAAACAGAATTAAAACAGATTTAGCTATTGTATCTATATCAGTACAGAGCCCACAGTGCAGGAGTAAGCAACCTTTTAGTAGCACTGTGCCAAAGTAAACTCCCTTAAGGAGCGTCACGGGAGATGGGACGCCTCGTAAGTGTTCCCTTAATTATACCTTGTATTGTCTAATGCAGGGATAGACAACATTTGGCACTCCAGATGTTGTGGACTACATCTCCCATTATGCTTATACCCATAATGCTGGCAAAGCATAATGGGAGGTGTAGTCCAAAACATCTGGAGTGCCGAAGATTGCCTATGCCTGGTCTAATGTTTCCCTGCATTCTTATGGAATTGTTCCCTTCTGTTCGGTTACCGAACAGATTCTGTGTGGACCTCCTTGTTAACACCTCGTAATCACTGACCACCCCTGGCTGTTAACCAAAAAACAAGTATTCCCCGGGTGGCTATATATATGAACACAAGTGTGCAAACAAATGGCGGCCATTTTGGTCTCCCTACCGTGGGCAGTGATACGTGGTTGTCGACGACATGGTACTGGTTTCAGCTGCCCATTCGACTTCCCGACCAGCTAGGAGAATAGCGTTCTGGAGTAGGAAACTACTGAACGATGGAAACAATTTCTTAACAACCAGAGGATGCGTTTGTCAGTTTGTTCGTATGGATCTCCCGAAAGTGACCGGCCAGTCTGATCAATTCTCTGAACGGTTTTGGGCTACCACCTCTTAGCCGGTCGGGCAAAATGTTGCACAAACACAACTCATTTTACCGCACCGATCGGGGCCATTAGGGAATATAATTTTGGGGGGTTCCGATGCTGTTTTTTGTGAGATGTAAAAATTGTATGCAAGTTTTCCTATTTGGGAGATAATTGGATTACCTTAATTGGAGCTCAATTATCTCTCAAACACAATGGCTTGTGGGAAGGAAACCCCTGTGATTTTGTACTGGAAACACCATGCCAGTGGCACTGCATAAAAAGCGTGTAGTCTAATAAAAATTCAGATTGCTGCTTTGGCCCAATGCGACTGGTTGAGTCCATTATATTGGGAAAACTCTACACAAAGGGATTACTTTCACTACATTCCGCACACCTGGAATTAGGACTTGAAAGCTTGAATAAATAACCGCAATAGACTCTCAGACTCGTGACAGGGAGCCAATCCAATTGTTTTTAAAGTAACGTTTATTTATGTTGAGGAATTTGGCTTGTGTTACACATGGGTGCTTTGAGAGATTTTGTGTGTGTGCAGGGGCATAGTTAGGAATCACAGGGCCCCATTGCAAGAATTATAAAAAGCACCACCCCCACTAAAACGGTACGTTGTTACTGGACACAGCAAGTGCTTACCAATGATGATCGATTTAGGCATAGGCCAATGGTCCCTCCTATACATATTCCATAGTCCCCCTCTTGAGTTCTGAGACGAGGCTCACTTATTCAACATTCCAGTTGGCAAATGCATTGTTCACGTTTACTTTGTTTATATACTTTAGTTTAATCTTGGCCCCATGTAAACCCAATTGCCTGGGGAAACCAAGTCACCGGTCCTTTTACTTTAACCACCCAAAGGGAATTTGTCTCGTGTTTGAATGCACAGATGTGTACCATGTCTGTTTTCTCTTATAATTTTTCACATCAATGCTCCATACATCTATACAAATTGTGTAGTTTCTCTGAATGCCATGTTATATACGGTTACTACTATGTTTGCTACTGCTGTTGTGGCATTGCAAGCTTATCATTTGTGTGTGGTGGCAGTGTGGGACTTGCTTGAGTCTAATTATGTTGCTTGGCTGAGTGCGATATGTATGTTTGGTTGGCGGAATGCGTTTGTATATATGGGTTGGCTACGTGAGAGTGTGGAGTGATGGGCCCTGCTTGGGGTCACTTCACCAAGCATGACAATCCCCTGTGCTAATGCTGACACGCTGGCTTCATTGCCAGCAGACTGGCGTCAGTACATCCCATATTTCCTATAGCAAGCGCCTGCTGGGGGTGTAACAGTGACCAGGAGCAAGAGAACCATCTCCGCTCAATCAATTCTTGCATTGGACCCAGTGTTTCACTGGCACACGTCTAATGTTAAAGATTTAACTGACTGGTAGATGAGGGATCAAATTTTTTGGAGCACTATAGTGTCAGGAACACAAACATGTATTTCTAACACCCACCGTTTAGGTGGTCGGTCCTTCTTGCCTTAGGTTAGAAAAGGGATTTACTCACTTACCAGCGCTGTGTAGGGCTCCTTGCATCTGGATCTGCCCCTGGTCCACCTCCTTTGCGGACATGATCTCAGCCAATCACAATACTTTCCCATAGGAAAGCATTGGATTGACAGAGTTAGGCAATTCTGATAATCTTAGCCAGTATGGAAGGGCGGGGCTATAGCCAAATGCTGTCTTGGCCTATTAGTCTCTCCTCAGAGCTCCCTGGGGGTCTAATGTGGATTCTGTCCCCTTCTTGCTCTGCTCACATGTTCATTTAGTGATGTCGGAGTGACATCAAGTTTCTGCTTGTGGCATCACTGCAGGGTGGGTGAAGGAGCAGAGCTTGGAGATCAGCACCCTCGACACCCATCTACATTGCGCAAAGGCGAAAACCAGAGGGCATGGTCGCACTCATGATCTTAGAGACCTATGTAGTTCCAACATTTAATGCAGGTTATGTGTGTGGGATGTCTGTGGTGTTATGAGAGTGTGTCATGCCAAAGCATGAGTTGGCATTTGACATATGTAATGAGTTTTTTGTACGTTTGGATAACCTTTATTGTAGGCTTTGATCTTACACCATGCCTAATTCATAAAACTACTAAGATAACCATCACCAGAGCTGGACATCGGGCATTGTAAAAGGTATTGATGAGTACAGTATATACTCGAGTATAAGTCTAGTTTTTCAGCACATTTTTTGTGCTTAAAAACCCCCACTCGACTTATACTCGAGTCACTGTCTGTATTATGGCAACTTAGAGAGCCGCGGCTATCAGAGCCATGGCAACGATCCCGCGGCAACCAGACCGCGAGACTTACAGTGGAGCTGACCGGAACGGAGGAGAAGTGAGCTGACAGGAGATGCAGAAAAGGTAAGTAAATGCTTTCTGCCGGCCCCCCCACTTCACAGCCCATGCCACTGGACCACCAGGGATTAAGATAGCCCCCCTCCCTGACCAGTTAACAAGTAGGGAGGGGGGACAAAAAATAAATAAAAATAATTAAAAAATAATATTAAAAAAAAAAAAAAATTTAAATAATAAAAATGCCCTCCCCCCACCCAGTTCACACACTCTGCATTATATACACACTCTGCATTATATACACAGAGTGTGTGTATATAATGCAGAGTGTGTGTATATAATGCAGAGTGTGGGTTTGTATAAGTGTATGAGTGTGTGTGTATATATAATGCAGAGTGTGTGTTTGTATAAGTGTGTGTGTTTAATGCAGAGTGTGTGTTTGTATGAGTGTGTGTGTATATAATTATAAAAATCACAGAATTTCATAGCCCCAAGTTTTACCCTCGACTTATCCACGAGGCATAGCATATTTCACAATTGTTGGTCACAAAACTGCACTCGACTTATACATGAGATCGACTTATACACGAGTATATACGGTATGTTCTGACTTTGGGTTCTTCAAAGGACAACATAATTTAAGAAAATAAACTGCCAGGCCAAACCCCTCTGATCCACCCAGGGGTCTGCCCACTGAGAAACAGCTAGTTTTAAAAAGGTATATATTTTGGATGTTGGACTATCCAGTGAGAGATTTTCTTTTATTCCCCCAACAACTACTTGGAGACCTGTAACATCCGAATCTTCCATAAGAATTATATAGAAGGGGTAACTATGTAAGGATTTCTTGTTTTTCCTCCTATTTTATGGACGGTTTTGCAATTTATCTGTGTTTCTGTATGTCATTTATTTCTCCATTGTTGTACACAGCACTGTGAATCTTTTTGTCAGATTAAATGTTTACTTAATCAGCTTGTGTCTTTGTTCTCCATGATCTCACTCTGAGGAAAGTTCAGGTAAACGCGTTACCAAAAGGCTTAATCATATACGTCTGACCAGTAAATTAAGGTTGTGATACTATAATTCTACTGTGTGGGGGTAACCTAAGATGCCAGGTATAAAGTCTTGGTGGTAGCAGTAAAGGGTGTACGAGGGTGCTAGTGTAGAAGGGATTGCAGGGGTTAAGTTAGTGGTTGCTTGTGTCATTAACCCCTTCATTTCCACACTCTCCCCACTGTCTCAGCTGGGCCAATAGCCCACGTTCATGATAGAGTGTATATATGAACTGTGTGTAGTTTGTAACATGGTTTGTGTTAGGGATCGACAGATATTGATTTTTTTTAGAGCCGATTCTGATAATCAGTGAACTTTCAGGCCGATAGCTTACCGATGTTCTGTAAACGCACAAAATATACATGCCACATGTAGTGGATGCAGTGTGTTTAGACAGGGGAGCGGTGTGTGTGTTTGTAGTGGATACAGTGTGTATATAATGAATGCAGAGTGTTTGGGTAGTGTGTATATATAGTGAATGCAGTGTATTTGTGTATATAACACAGTGTGTGTTTCTGTAGATATGTAATTTGTGTAAATTTATTGTAAATATATTTATTTATTGGTCCCCCGTCCCTGATTGTTACTTGGCCAGTGAGGGGGAATATAGTACTCCCTGGTGGTCTGGACTGTGCAGAGGGGACCCAGCAAGCGCTTACCTTCCCAGCAGCTCCCCTGTGTAAATCTCGCAGCCTGTGTGCTGCGCGGAGCATTGCCATGTAACGCTCTTTTGGCTGTGGTACGCGCGAGATTTACACAGGGGAACTGAAGGGAGCTTAAGTAAGTGCTTGCTTGGCCCTCCAGGCTTGTCATGGGCCCAGCAGTCCTGGTATGCATTATCGGCTTCTTTATTGGCAGATACCGATATTGCCAAAAATACTGAATATCAGCGAGACCGATAGTTTTTGTATTGTGTGCAAAGTTGTTGGCATGTAGGGTTTTGCGTGAGAATGTGGGCTGTTGACCAAGTTTGCGGCCGGAACTATTTGAGGAGCCGAGTATGTGTGGTTGTTTGTGGTAAGTGTGTAGGCTGCCTGTTGTGTTATGAGAGTGCGTTGTTTGTGGTATTTGAGTGTTTGTCTAAAGTCCTGTGTGTGGAGTGTTATTGGTATCTATGTTTGTGTGTGAGCTGCCTGAAGTGGGAAGTAGGTTTTTGTGTGTGTTGTCTCTAAAAAGTGTGTGTGTGTAGAGGAAAAAGTCTTATGTATTCGTGGTACTAGGTGTGCTGTTTGATGTTAGTATAGGTGTATGAGGGTTGCGTGTTGTGTTATGCGTGTGTGGGCTTCCTAGTGAATTGTGTGAGGGGTGTTGTCTATGTGGGCTATTTAAAGGATTGCATATGTATGTGGGCTGGTTCGTGTAGCTCATTTGGGGGCAGAGGTCTAGTGTGCCTGGTCATAGGTTGCCGACCTCTGCCCTAGAGGCTCTCTGAAAGACAATCACTAGTAGGTGTGGAAAAAGCAAAGTCTAAGCACCACCATTTCTCATGTAACAGCTTTGTTTTAATTTAGGTGAAGTGATTTTGGTTATCAACACTACATATACATCCAAGTGATGCATGAGACCTACACACGGTACGTTAAATGGCGGTTTGACATCAAAGCAAATTTCATACTTCTACATCAATACTCATGGGCTTTCAGTAGCAGCAGGGTTTGCAAATTATTGCAATTATAAGTCATGCGTTTCCATAACAGATGATATTACTCCAATACTCCTAACACCTTGTCCTTCCTACAAGATCGTCCATTTACTAGCTACTGCAGGGATTTAGGGACCGCTGACATACCAGGGATATTATACAAGTACTACAGTACTAACAGACTCATCTCATTATTGTACACCGAAAAGTCTTTAGGTCATACTTTCATCAAGCTTTATTTTCTAGAATCTAGAAAAGGCCATATTGCAAAACTCGACATATGAAAATATAGTTTTAATACACAATACTAAGGAAAGCAATTTGCAGATAAAATCAAATCTATGAGTAGATTTTCACCTACCTGCTTAAGTTGTATTTATTCAGCTTTTCAGAAACTTCCCTTAACCTAAAAAGAATAAACATATTACAAATTAGTTTCTAAAACCTTAAGACAGTTTGAACAGAAGCAAATCTAAAAGCTTTTGTTAAATAAAAATTTTTAAAAAAAAACACCCAAAGACTCAGGATGATGACAGACCACTGTCTGCTGAATATATGCCAAATTTAAAACAAATAGGATTTTCAATAGACAGGAGGGCAGAGTAGGAACAAGTCAACGTTATAAATATATTTATAATGGTGATCCTTTAAATTAATTTCATATTTATCAGCTTCTACTTTCTTATGTTTTCCATAACAACTCCAGGAGGGACACTGATCTAATCATTGCTCTATCTATAGGCTACACTGGTTTCGCTCTTCAGCAGAACGATGGCCAGTTTATGTCATTAGCGGACTGGTCTGAAACAGAGATTGATGTGTAATAGGCAGGAGGAGGGAACCTGAAGAAACTCCACAGCTGCACAACATTGCAACCAGACCAAGTTTATAAACTTTTACTACATACTTTTCTAAGTTTTACATACAATGCGTGTGTTTAAAATGGGTTTGCTTGCAAATTTACAGGGTAATTGTCCCTTTACGATTTTGAAGACATTATCTAGAAGAGATTACGGTAGTTATGGGGAACCTTGTTGCAGGAAGGAAGTTAAACATTTAGAAGCATTACATCTCAACACCCAAAAAGCACCACTTGCATGAATTATGACAGGACGATACAAATTCATAGGAATGAATTAAAACAAATAGATATTTAAAAATATATATATAAATAATAATAATAATAATAATTCCAATTTGGCTACAGTCACAGCTTGTCTATTCAGTCTGAGTTTTCTATTTTGTTTCCTGTTCACAATTCAGCGTTTACAGAAAGCATGTGTGTTTTGGGCCTCCTCTTACAAATTGGTCCATTTCTGTAGGATATCACCAATGCATTTGTTTAGTATCACAAGACACTGCCAACATTTTTAGGCTCCTTTGTTCAAAAACATAAAAAAAAATAAAAAAAAAAAAAAACACACACCAACTTTACTTACTGCCCTCTCTCCTCAACATCACTATCCTCCAAAACAGTGGGATTATTTCAAAACTATCTATTCTAACCAATTCTCTTAATAAGCATCTTTCTTGACATCCTGCAATCTGGCCTCCATCAACATGATGCTCTAATGATATGCAATACAGCTAGATCTTTCAAAGCACAAGCTGAAACTAGGTTATAGCCTTTATCAACACCTTTTCCCAATATGAAGTTAATTTCCTTGATTTGTCCTCTTGACAAGATCAACAGTTTGTTACAGGCTTGTCCAAAAAGAGTTTTCAAACACAAAATCAGGGCTTGCGTTTTCCTAGAATTTAAAATTAAATACCCATTAGCTGCCGACATCAGGCAGCTGTGGGTAAACTTTATGCCTTTTGTAAAATTAGGTTTTTACCACAAGACAAAAGTAACCCCTTCTTTGTCTTATGGGATCTTTTGACTGAATTCCAACAAAGTCTTTATGAATATTTCATAAATACATATTTTGGGGGTAAGAGAGCCACTTTAAGATCAAGTCACAAACCCCACACCAGTGTGCATTGCAAATTAACTCAGACTTTAAACTGCATACGGGTCACTAATGTCTAGATCCTCAGGCCCTAGGAGAGCAGTTTGATCTAAAGAAAGATAGGGGGGGAATCTGTTTAGTGTTTGTGTGAGTTATACGATATGCCTGGCGTACCAAAAACACTCCAAGCATGTGCCGTGAGTGCACAGATATAGCACCTTAAGAGATGCTTGGGGAGCATGCTTTACATTTAACTCCAGTGCACTACTCACTCTAAACACGCCAAATGCTTTTATTGGTTTCAAGACAGCACTGACCCCTGTTTTTGTTCCTTCAGTACACCAGATCATAAAAAGTAATCACTTGTCAAAGAGAAGTGAATTCTATGAATTACATCTGGGTGCACTGAGTAAATACTGCGAGGTGTAAAATGAGGTCGATGATGTGTAAAAGCATCAGCAACAAATTTCCACAAAGAAAAAGTGGAAGGGACACACAAAAGATAAAAACACTGCCATACAAATCTCCTTGAGAACTTAAAATACTGCACAAGGGTTTACAAAAATTACACTTGTAGACTAAAACTAAAGGAAACTGCTCAAGGCTTCATAGGAGTGTGAGATTGACAGTAATTATGTGAGGCCAAAATCAGATTTTGTTTACATCGGCTGTGCCATGTGAATGTTTATGCACACAGGATTTCCTTTTACAGGAATCACATGGTCAGAAATAAAAACACCATCATGCTGCAGTACAGTTAAACCAGTGAATGAGGCAAAACAGTTATTCAACAAACCTATGCTATTATTATTGCCATTTATATAGCGCCAACAGATTCCATAGCACTTTACAATATTGACATAACTATATTGTAAGTGGCATGTTAATGTAGATTAAAGCATAAAGAGAATGTTTAAATATTAATAAAAAAGTGGAAAAAGTCTCAAAATGATTGAGCTATAATAGAAATACAAAATCTTGCAATGGATCTCATGATTATAAAATTAACTAAACTAATTTGTGAAAACAGCAAGGAAAGATACATTCACTATTCTACATTAAATGAGCACTGGCACCGATCTTTGTATTTTGTATAAAGCACGGGGCTTGAGATAAAGTGCTCCATGTGTAAATCTGAAGACTCGACTCTTACCAGCACAGTTCAAGTCTCGTGCCAACCTGAACTAGTGGCCTAATAACATTTTTGTTGGTGAAAATGTACATACAGAACGGCAGCTTTAACAAAGCCCATTTTAAACTTTACAAAAAAAATAATTGCCTGCACCAATTGAATGTCTGGCAGTTTTGGATACATGATTAGTATAGGGTTTGACAAATCCCAGACACCAGGTAATCATGAAGACTAGGAATTTTGCCCTAGCGGCTGGGTTTTGTCAGCCCATTCCTGTTGAGGCGGAAGAGTAGCAGGCTGTAAAGCATGGTACCTGCGGCGAGGGAGCTGCAATCTTCTTTTTCTGGCCCCTTGCGCGCCCTGCTGTGACGCCGGGAGCCGAATACAACATCACCTCCGCACTGGCATCACTAAACAGCGTAAGAAGAGGATCCTCACTGGACCCCAGGGAAAGCTGGTCAATTTACAGCTTTCACAAAAAAGGTAGGTAGGCTGGGAGGAACAGAATTGAATTAAAACAAAAAAACCCTGTGTGAGAGTCAGTGACTGCCCACCGTTCTCCCTCCATCCTTGATTGCATGGGAATGGTGTTTTTACTCGCCTTATTCACTACAGCAAGCCAGTATTGCTGCGGCTGTCACTGCCTCCATGGCTGAGATAATCAAGCTGAGTCCAATGCTTTTCCATAGTTATCTGATCCAATTGTAACTTTCTCCAGCCGTGCTGCAGTGAATGCACATGGAAGATCATAGCACGCTTTCCTCTCAGCACTCCTTCATAATAAGTGTGTCCATTTAATCATCAGTAGTAACTTTTATATCCAATCATGCAGCTGTACTGCTTTGTACAGACAGCTGTCACCATTCAATGGCAACCTACTATTGTAAGAACGCATCCATTTGCATGTTGCACAGAAAACCAGTCTGTGCAATGGTCTTAAAGTGGCTCTGTCACCCCTTCCTCTTCCCATCCAAAAGAAGTACATCAAAAGAAAATCTTTATGAAATACTCATACTGACTATACCAGAATTTAACTGATTACATATCAGTCAAAAGATACCCTAAGAAAGTACAGACTGCTTTGTCTAAGTATATTCCCTACACTTGACAAAAGGCAGAGCTAACTTGGTCAAGTTGTCATATTTCTTAGGAGTCACTAGTGACAGTTGTAGGGAAAATGGCTTTGTCTACCGAGAATCCTGCAGTCTCCTCCACCGACCTCAGTGCTGTACTCTCACGCACCTCAAAAGTCCAATACTGATGTGGATTCCTGGCAGTAGAAGAAGAAAGACCATGGCAGCAGCTGCGAGGGATAGGTTCAGCCAAGTAAAACTCACCTTTCCCTGCAACCCGAGTCCACCAGATACCCAGCGTAGCATTCAGTCAGGGGTGTAAAATAGGCAAAGATATGCATTGCACACTTTAAATAGCAACAATTAACATGAGTCAGACAAGGTTCTGAAAAACTGGTCATGCTAAGCACCATAAGGGATATTATATTTATCAAAACAACTTTGTTTATCGATCAAGCACATGCAGTCTCACTGCTCAACGCTCTGTCATTTAGAAGTTAAATCACTTAACTTGCACCGCTCTGTAAATTGAACTTTAAAATCACACACAGGAGGCACCTGCAAGATCTAGAATGCTATCAACAGAGCAGGAAATAAGAGATTCTGAATTAAACATAATATGCAATAAGGAAGTTTAAACATTAGATCTCTTTATAGTCCGTGTTTAAGTCTGCATAAACCGTGATTTCACTGCTAAATGGCAATAGTGATGTCGAACCGTCCGCGAACGGTTTGCCACGGTTCGCCACGAACCGTTCGCGGCGAACTCTGGTCAGCTGACACATCCCTGTCAATCTCCGGCAGACCCTCCCTCCCAGACCCTCCCACCTCCTGGACAGCATCCATGTTGAAGCTGCCTTCAACATGGATGCTGTCCAGGAAGTAGGAGGGTCTGCCGGAGATTGTCAGGGATGTGTCAGCTGACCGGAGTTTGCCGCGAACGGTTCGCGGCAAGTTCGCGACATCACTAAAATGGCAGAGAATTGAGCAGTGAGATGGCAGAAGCATGATCTGTACACAAAATCTGCTTCATTATGATAAAGTTGTTTTGGTGCCTATAGTGTCCCTTTAATATTACTGAAGCGGTTATGGACACTGTCCCTACAGCCTTATTCAAAATGATTATTTTAAAAGATATTTCTTTTATTTTGAAAAGCCACTTGCTAAACAGGTTGGGTGGAATATAACCCTAACTAACCTCACCCAGAGTTTAGCTAGACATGATGAGAATTTTTGTCCACAACAACTTATGGCAAATAATTTTAGTGGAAAAAAAAAAAAATATATATATAGATAAACTGCCCTAAAATTGGAGCTTTATAAAAATCTCTAAATAAGAACCTCCGTTTCTTTATAACTGAACCAAACTCAACACTAATGTGGAAATAAGTGCTGGGCAAGAAAATGGGTCTCTGTGGCCATCAAAAGTTCTGTTTAGGGCTTAGAAATTTTTTTTTGCTATGATTAATTAAGGACAGCACAGTAAGCTTTGTTAAAAACATGATAACATTACCACAGTCTTCATTTAGAGAGGTTCATGCAATTTAATCAACTATTAAGATTCATAACAATATTTAGAATACTGTACACACAAAACCTAGAAGGACCTTGTTTAATCAGGTCAAAACACTCACGTGACAGTTTCTCCAAGTGCCTTAGGCATGGGAAAATACCAATAGCATCAAGTAGTATGACAGCCAAATGAGTAACCTTCTGGTACCCTAGTATGCACATCACCTTCTTCAAAACAACTCAAGCATGATTGTGACAACAAAGTTAGGGAAAACAGAAAAAAACCGCCAATATTTGTAATTATTTATTTTCTCTCTCAAGAGTTTTGATGGCCTGGTGCTTAATCCAGCCTAAAGTTATAGGAATGGAAGAAATGGATAGCACTCCAGAATTTTTAGGTAAATAAAACTTTATAGATGCGTCAACATTTCAGATTAAAATCAAATCTTTCATTAGGATATACATATACCCACAAACAAACAAAAAGAAAAAACCACAGCTTACACTAAGAATGAACACTAGGATTTTGAAGAAAAGCCTAGCTAACAAAAGCAGCATTTTAGGTTTGCCTTCTGAAGTTATTAATCATCACAAGTCCATTAATGACCAACACTGGATGGGTTAGCAACAGTTCCTTTTGGGAGGCAATAGGTTACACACAAACACCAAGCGCACTTGCCATATTTAATACATTAAATGCACACGCTTTCCAACTAGTTTCTGTTAAGCTGTAATGTCTAACACTGCAGGATTAAGAGGACTGGGAGAGTACACCCAGACCACTTCAGTCACTACAATCAATGGATAAACCCCATACTTATGAATCAGCCTACATAATTTGGTGCTTTTGGGCTCGCTTATATCCTATAAACATTTTTAAAAGACAAAATGTCAGGATGTTTTCTGCACTCATCCTTTTGTGATTTTTGGTACAATTTACCAAGTCCATGAAAAGTACATTTTCCATTCTGAAAGTTTTGTCTCCACACTTTTGTTTTTAATTTTTTTTTTTTTTTTTTTAAAGATATGTTTATCAATGCTTTTTAGCTGGTTGGAATGAATGAAAGTCCTGTTGATCTATTCATGAATTATCCAATCGTCCAGGATTTACCCGTGAAGTTTTTATCAATGACTAAGACTCCACAGGTAAATCCAGGACAGACTGATTTGTGCAGGCATAGATTAAAAGGAATTTTAAGAATGATAACCACTACTATCCATTGCAACAGTTATGGTGTCTTGGCACTGCCACAAAGCATTTATTTTTTAGAATGATTTAACAACTTACTTGGGTGCCATCATGCACTCACATACCTTGTTTCTGGAACTCTCCTGCAGGAGAGTTTGCTTAAATAAGCAAAACAGGGCCATGGAAAGCTGTACTCCTTGGCAGAGAACATCTGCTGAGCACTGTCAGTCAATTAGCAGAGCACTCTACTGGCTGTAACTAGCAGAAAAGTTACATCTAGCTAATCCTGCAGAAAAAGAGCAGATGCAACCGTGGGCACCCAGGTAATGTGTCAAACCATACTAACATGGTGTAACAAGTTATACCAAGTCAGTGACAGGGCACTCCTGGCCCCATGTCCAGCAGGCTGAAGTGGTTATAATGCTTAGAGTGTTCCATTAAAGGACCACTATAGTGCCAGGAAAACAAACTCGTTTTCCTGGCACTATAGGGTCATTATGTCCCCCCCACCCTCAAGGTCCCACTCCCACTGGGCTGAAGAGGTTAAAAACACTTACCATTCTCCAGCGCCGGGGAACTCTCCTCCCTCTGCCGACGTCAGCGCCGAATGGGCATGTGCTGCTAGTGCCACACGCATGTGCAAACCGCCCATAGGAAAGCATTTCCTATGGACGTCCAGCATCTTCTTACTGTGATTTTCACAGGGAGAAGTGCCTCTAGTAGCTGTCAGTGGGACAGCCACTAGAGGCTGGATTAACCCTCAGTGAAACATAGCCGTTTCTCTGCCCCCATTTGAGCTAACATTTTCTCATGGGCACATGAGATTCAGGTAAGTAACTGAAGAGGTTTTAAACCCTTCAGCGACTCAGTATGGGGGCACTGCAGGATTCTACAGTGCCAGGAAAACAGGTTTACCTTTATCAAAAACAGCAATAACTACATTTACAGGGTTAAGGGGCACTGCACCCAGACCACTTTAATGAGCCTTTAATGAAGCAGTTTTTGCTGCTCAAGTCTCTGCCATTTAGAAGTCAGACCTAAAGCCAGCTATTACAGTGGAGGAGATTGAAAAAATAAAATAAAAAAAGACTGTGCAATAAAGTATCCAAGAACATGGAGCTTCCTTTTCAGGAAGTCACATGCAGACAAACTGATTTAACTCCTAAATGGTTACACTAACACGGCTTCAATAATCTAAAAATTGTACTGGTGCCTATAGCATCCCTTTGGGTCTATAGAACATGAATTCTTCAGTTGGTACAAAACCAAGCCAAAGGAAAAATATCGGATAAGCCACATGGTAAACAGAAGACAAAAACAACCAAGGATTATACAATAAACACAAAGTGGTCATGAACCCTGTAATAATGCCCAAAAGAAATCATGCAGTGCGTATATAGTCACGTTAGAGAGTTGATTTACACCCAAAACGGTTTATGCAGCCTTAACGTTCAACATTAGGGGAAAATTGTGTTTCAGACTTATGTCCAATTGATTTGCCATAGTTCAAGATTGCCAAAAAAGACAAATCCCCGCCGCCCCGTTACTGTAGATCAAGGCTTATGACATACCATGATGTTCTAGAGCAGCGTTTCCCAAACCATGGCCCGCCAACAGTCCAAGTTTTGTCAGTATCTCCATTGGACTAAAACAGGGAAATAAAACCCCCTGGATTGTTGGTGGGTCATGAGGACTGGCTTTGGAACCAGTGATCTAGAGAACTCCAACTGCCATGATAGCCTTTAGAAAGGCAAAGCATTAAGAAGTTATTAAAGGACCACTATAGTGCCAGGAAAGCAAGTGCGTTTTCCTGGCACTATAGTATGCCACACCTCCCACCGGGCTGATCACTTACTCTCCTCCTCCCGACGTCATCAGCTGCATGTACGGCAAGTGCCGCGCGCGCAGTCAGCCCGTCCATAGGAAAGCATTGCTCAATGCTTTCCTATGGACACTGGCGTCTTCTCACCGTGAAAATCACAGTGAGAAGCGCCTGTCAATGAGACAGCCACTAGAGGCTGGATTAACCCTAACGTAAACATAGCAGTTTCTCTGAAACTGCAATGTTTACAGCAGGCAGGGTTAAAACTAGAGGGACTTGGCACCCAAACCACTTCATTGAGCTGAAATGGTCTGGGTGCCTATGGTGGTCCTTTAAGTTACAGGTCTACAACATCTGGGGTAATCTGCCTAGCCCTCACTGTAGCCCTCCAGCTGCCATGATGCCTTGCCAGCCTTTAGAAAAGGCAAAGCATTATGGAAGCTATTATTATTATTATTATTATTATTAAGTTACAGTGCTACGACATCTGGGGTAATGTGCCCATCCCTCAGTGTGGCCCTCCAGCTGCCATGATGCTTTTACACGCATGCTGTGGCATCATGGGAGTTGTAGTTCTCCAGCAGCCCCTTGTACCCCAGTGTGAGGCCTAGGCCGGCCCTTCCAATCCCCGGGCTGTATTTACCGATCATTGAGCTGGTCCTCGGTGCCAGGCAGCGGGTGCACCACGAAATGGATGGACGTCATGGCGGCCTCGTCACACGGCACAGGCCGTGCCCGACCTCTACCCTGCCTTCACACAGCCTTCACAGGGCAACGGCGGACCGCGAGGGGGGGAACGAGGGGGGACAATAAAATAATAATAATAAATAAAAAGGGTAAAAATAAAAAGAAAAAAAATAGGGGTGGGGGGAAAAAGGGAAAAAAAGAAAATGTCTGCTGTATCCCAGTCCGAGGCGGAGCCACGCACGCTGCCCTCGATAAAACAATAATTAAAACAAAAATAATGTCATCGCCACACGGCGAGCGGCCGGCTCCTTCCTCGCCCGCGCTGCGGCCTCTCGTGCTCTCCTCGGAGGACGTTCGGTTTATAACGGCGGCGGGAGGGAGGGGGGGTGAGATCAACGAATTCCTTCAGCGAGCCGCCGCCATCTTGCAGTCTGTCTCTCTCCTCCTCCTCCTCCTCTCTCTCTCCGTGGGCCCCGAGCGAGGAATGTGAACTCGACGCCGATTGGCGGAGCGGCCTCGAAGCGCTGTGATTAAAAAAGAAGCTCTGTGATTGGTCGGGCGGGAGGAGGGGGGTGGGGAGGGAAGAGTCAAAGGCTGCGGGTGGTGAGAGGCGCATGCGCAGTGCCTGCTGTTTATATCTAGCTCCTCCCCCTCCCCGCCCCTCCCCTCAGGCCAGTGGATGGAGTGTCTGTGAGAGCAGGCAGGATGTGATGCTTTACATTGTAGGTGTTAAATCCCTCAACTATTCCCCATGCTGATTGATAGGCATGTGATGCATTGGGGTGGAGACAGCTTAATAAAACTGTTCTGAGTAATTCTTTATTTACTGGGAAGAGATTTGTTTGTTGTTTTTAAGTCTGTTGTTATGGCAATATAAATTCTTCTATGGAGATACAGTATATATATATATATATATATATATATAAAAATTTATATACAGATCGGTAAATATATCAAGAAAGGAATATAGATTTATACTGTATTACTAATTTTTTTTATTCATAGTATAGAAATATACTGTATTATTGTTTTTATTCATAGTGTGTGTGTGTGTGTGTATATATATATATATAGATAGATATATATATATATATATATATATATATATATATATTCTGTTATTTACAGGGTGTCCCAAAAAGATGTATACACACACACTTTGAATGATTATAAAGTCTGTGTTTAAACAGACCAGTTCATTTTCAAATTGTAAAAGAACCTCCAAAAACTAATAATTATTTATTTTTTGGTCTGTTTTCAAACTGATAACCGACTTGGTCCAGGCACCTCTGATAACGTAAAGCAGCTGCTAAAGTGTGTACGTATTTTTTGGACGTGTGTGTGTGTGTGTGTATATATATATATATATATACATCTTGAAAAAGACCCGGCAGGGTCGAAACGTCGATTGATTTTTTTGTACATCACAGATGATTTATTAAAGCACCAGTTTTCCTATTAACCAGAAGACCTGTGAGTGCATTTTGATTTTTATTTTTGTTTATATATATATATATATATGTGCGAAAAAATACAGGAAAAGCAAAAACAGTGTCTCTAGAATATGGTACGCAAGGTTATTGAAGCGATAGACACATACTTAAAAATTGAAAAGCATTTATTTGCAACGATTTCTGTGTATTTCAATTTGTTTTGGTAGTTCGAGGTCACAAGTCACCATAAACACCCATTCAAAGTTTGACCTGTTTAGTATCATGGTTTAATAGATTCATTTGCAACTTCTATGTTTGATGGTGAAGAATTTAGCATCAAATCCATTAAAGTTACCCCATAAAAGCCTAAAACAAAAAAGCCTAATCTGGGGGGCCATTTTAACAATATGTGTCAAAGTTTGTATTATCTTTTCTCATTTTTTAAGATGCACATCCAGTGCATTTTATAAACCTTGTACGTGCTTCTGTAGTTAAAAAAAAAAAAAAAATGCATTCAGCTACACACCTAGAGTACAACAATACCCCTATGTATACCTGTGTATGTGTGTGTGTGTGTATATATATATATATATATATATGTTAAATGGCCATTAGGCCTGAATTTGTGGGAGGAGTTATGGCCCCTATTTAAACTCCTAGCCCCTACTCATCTCTGCCGTTAAAACTGTTTGACTTCTCCTTAGCAACCAGCACTTTCGGTCCGAAGTTCCCGCCAAAAAATTCAAGCTTCCAGCAGGAGTTCTGTCGCCAGCAGTTTCCTATGCCTCCGACCTCCGTGCCTGCCACCCGGCTTCTCACCGGCCTCGGTACCCGGCTCCAGGTCACGAGACCGACACATTCACGTAAGCATAACTTGGGAAATAGCATTCGGCTAGTTCCCACATTCGGGCCTAAAAATGGAGGGATACGTTCCCTTCACTAATAGTTACCTGTTTCGTGCATAATTCCGGTACGTGCTAAACAGCCGACCGCAGGGTACACTCACTTTCGTTTATTCTTTCGTGCAGTCTAACAGCCGGCCGCAGGCATCATGTTTGCATACAGTTCTTTTCCGTTCATTCTTTTTTTTTTTGCCGAACACAGTCTCTTTTACTGCTTAAATCCCTTATCTGGTATGGTAAGCTGTTATACCGTTCGTTCATACGAACAAACAGATCACTTTTCATCTTACAGCCTTTTCACTCAATTTTCTGTCTGGTGTATAGCATGTTATTTTTAAACAGTATGAAGTCTAATCTGTACAAATTAGCATGCCATGGCTATGTTTACAATTAAATGGGACACATTTATCATATATACCGGTACTACAAAACCCACTTAAAGGTACTAACTGTGAAGAACACATCCTAGCGGATTCATACTACATGTCATTCTGAACTGTTGATTCACCTTTTCATGCAATTTACTCTCACATAATACCATTAATTTCTTTACCTAACACGACTCCACGACTAGTCTTTTATTTAAAGGACCACTATAGTGCCAGGAAAACATACTCGTTTTCCTGGCACTATAGTGCCCTGAGGGTGCCCCCACCCTCAGGGTCCCCCTCCCGCCCCGCTCTGGAAGGGGGAAAGGGTTAAAAACTTACCTTTTTCCAGCGCTAGGCGGGGAGCTCTCCTCCTTCTCTCCTCCTCCGTTCCTCCTCCTGGGCTGAATGCGCACACGCGGGAAGAGCTGCGCGCGCATTCAGCCCGTCGCATAGGAAAGCATTTACAATGCTTTCCTATGGACGCTTGCGTGCTCTCACTGTGAAAATCACAGTGAGAAGCACGCAAGCGCCTCTAGTGGCTGTCAATGAGACAGCCACTAGAGGATTAGGGGGAAGGCTTAACCCATTCATAAACATAGCAGTTTCTGTGAAACTGCTATGTTTATGAAAAAATGGGTTAACCCTAGAAGGACCTGGCACCCAGACCACTTCATTAAGCTGAAGTGGTCTGGGTGCCTAGAGTGGTCCTTTAACTATGTTTCTCTCATAATAAATCATATGTTTATTATCTTTTTGTAGCATGCCAAAAGGTTAAGCTCTCACAAGCTTTTCACACATATCTCCCATATGCAATCACCACAGTTCCTTTTTTGCCAGGCTCAGTACTGACCACAGGCACGATCGCTCAACCTCTGTTTTTAACTAAGCTTTATACTGGTTCCAATATTTAGCCATGTGTATGATTTTAGGCTCCTCTACATTTCCTTCAAATAGACTTCAGGAAGTGTCATCCCAGTATCCTGTCTTACAGTATCAGGTATAGTGGTTTACTCGTTACATTTATCTTCCCCTGAGGCCTCATTCAGCCTCCACGGCCTCATTCAGCCACCCACCCCCCCAGGCGGGTTCTAAACTTCTACATGGGCCCACGTTGAAGACCCCTCACTACGATCTCATCAACAATTATCTCCTAACCAATGTCTCTCTGCTACTATTATTTCATAACTGTACATCACTTGTTTGTTGTTTCTACATTTCATTACGTAGACCTGCGTCAATACCGCAGTTTCGCCAAGGTTTATACTCTATCAACCACCAACAGCCAACCTGGTATCCTGTATTTCATTACCATGTATTGTTAATCTTACTCACTACGATTATGATTTTCATAAAAACCTTACTCAGCCTTCTTGTCATTACACTCCCTAATTGTGGTAACCCGGGGCTTGTCTCTAAATATGGACCAACATTCAGATCCCTCATCTTACACGGGTTCTTACATTACAGTATCATTAATACACCTTCATACATTTGACATCATTTTTTTTTTTTTTTTATTTATTTTTTTTACATACATCATGCATACCAGCGGCACGCCTCAGGTCCACTCGCATCTATCTTATCCCTAGGATACCTTGACCTGACCTGTTTTCTTCCAAAGCAAATTATATTCAAGACCTTCTGTGTCACGCACAAAGCGATAAGAGTAATACTCAAGGTTAGTTTCTACATATGTTCGGGCACATCATTAAGGAGATAAGCGCCATCAGGTTAGAGAACTGGCATTTAGGGATAGGTGCTGGCCTTAGCAACCCTAACTAAATTCACCAGTCCCACGAGGCCTACTCCCCACCTCAAAACCGAGGTTCAGCCCCACGGCCAAAAATTATAGTTAGCCACCTCGCTCACCCTTCTTTAGGGCAACAGTTAGGGCTTCCCAAGTCACGGCCACATGTATTGAATCTCCTCCGGTCATCGAGAGGTCAACATTCCGCCACCACGTTCAAGTGGTGCAACTTCCCTCGGCCAAAATCATAGGTAGAGCCTCTCACCGCCACTTGGCATTAGCAGGGCCTCACCTGTCACTTGGTTTTAGTTCAGTTCTTCGCCTCGGCACTAGTTAGCAGGCCAGTTCCCCGAAGGTCTCGTTCCCCCTTCACACTACCCTACTTAATTTAAATCATTATTCCTTTTTCAGAATGTCACAAGAATCTATCCCCATTGACGATCTACCATTGGACGAAGTACCCAGCACGCCAGTCAGGCCTGGGTCTCCAGAGGAATCCCTCACCCCCTCTACCCCCAGGTCCCTGAGATCTTGGACGATCCCAAAAATTGCAGCAGAACTTAGACTCAGGGGTATCCCCTTTCCAGCAACAGGTAGAAAGGCAGAGCTGTACAGGCTCTTGACGGCACAGGTTAATGAACCTAGGCTCGGCACTAGCTCACACGGGCCGTCTACAAACACCTCCGATTCTACACAGGAGACCCCGACTGCTATTCTGGCCAACCTCCAAACCATGAATAACAGACTGCTGAAAGTAGAATCAGCCATAGCCACCTCAGGTAACCTACCAGGCCCTTCAGGTCCTCCCCTGGTAATCTCTACTGTTCAGTCGGGAACCTCCCTCTCTCCCCCTGCCCCACCAGCCACTACACCATATGTCTCACCTGCTCACTCCGTTCCAGCTTCCATAAAAAAGGAAATGTAGGATGGGAAGGATGTAAACCTAGTTTTCTTACTCATAGCCTCACAAGACGTCCTTGAAAACAGAGCATACAATTACGGGGACATCTCAGTGGTCTTAAAAACTAGAGACCCATGCCTTAATAAAAAACTTTCTATCCCCCAGTTTGTTGTATCTTTTGGGATATATTGAGATGTCATCTGCACAGTGTATCCACATAGGAGGGAAGAGCTCGATCTGTATATGCATAAGGTA